AAGTATAACGAAGTTATAACTTTTTTTGGTTTTGACAGGTTTTAAGTTTTTTTTAATCTATTTGAGAACCACTTATTTTTGTATGCCATTTTTATAGACTTGTAGTGCAAATTTGCATACATAGAAGGATACTTGGTGCACCCTGTATACAAAACTTACCCTATTGACCTTGAAAAAGTATATTTACTTGTGTCTTTTGTAAAAGCCCGTGAGAATCTTTTTTTATTTCACGGTTGGTGCTTTAGTTAATTATGCTGAAAAATTTTCTTAAATCTAATGAAACATCCTGTAGACAGTCTTCTTGTGTATGGTTTTATGTAAATAAATTGAATTTAACAATGGACTTTATGAGAACGTTTTAAATAAATAGATATGAATCCAAAGAACTAACTAAAAACTAATTGTCATGAAAAATATGGATAATTGGTTAAGACATGTAATGTGATTATTTTATTTATTATTTAATAATATCTAATTGTGGTTAAATTTGCAAGTATATTCATTGATATCACTTAACCAATCGTATCAAAGGAAATCCGTTAAAAAATACTGCAATTTTACCCACTTACACTTTTTTATTTTATTATTTTCACTAGATCCAATTAATTTTATTACCATTTTACTATAAATAACCTTATCGACTTACCTGTTGATTTTAAGTAATAATTTTTATAATTTAAAGCAACTACTTTATTTTACTATTTTATTGAATATAAAATAAAAAAATATTGTTTACTTCCCCTTTGTAAGGTAATTAAAGCCCCTGTTTAAATTTATTTGAGCACGAGGGGTGACGTACGCCCCTCTCATTAGTTATTTGTGCAGCCTCCAACAATTGCAAATAATATTATTTGATATATCGTTAACTATAAAGATTAGAATAATAAAGAACTAATTAATTAATAATATATTAAAGAATTAATTAAAGAACAAATTTCATATTTCATATACCTACCTATATTCTTAAAAATATTTAATTAAATTGTACTCGTATAATAAATGGATCAATGGAACGTGGTGAGTTTTGAAATACACCACCATAGAAAAAGAATATACAACCAGGGTTGAAAAAAAAACCTATGAATAGGAAAAATAAATTGTAGGTTTTAAGGTTTTTTAGGTTTTGTATGGGTTTTTAAGGTTTTTTTTAGGTTTTTAGGTTTTTTAAGATGGAATTTTGGATGATTAAAAATTGTTTGTAACGTTAATTAATAGTCCTAAATATATATAGATAAATACATAATATTTATTTAAAAATAAAAATGGATAAACATAATCAAAAAATATTGAAGTTCAATGGAACTTTAAATTCATGATCAGTCAGTCATCATTAAGTGATCATATTATCACAAATCTGATCAATATTTTAGTAAACATGTTTTATAATTATCTTTGTTTTAAAACATGTTAACCTCAAAAAAGCGATTTTTGTCATTTGAAGATAAAAAAACCTAAAAAACCTAAAATGAGGTTATTTGAATGAGTAGGTTTTTTCAAAAACCCTAGGTTCTAAAAAACCTGTACCTGCCAACCCTGTATACAAATCTGATCAATATTTTAGTAAACATGTTTTATAATTATCTTTGTTTTAAAACATGTTAACCTCAAAAAAGCGATTTTTGTCATTTGAAGATAAAAAAACCTAAAAAACCTAAAATGAGGTTATTTGAATGAGTAGGTTTTTTCAAAAACCCTAGGTTCTAAAAAAACCTGTACCTGCCAACCCTGTATACAACGCATCAACAAGTATACTTGCCAGATTTTCTATTTGACGAGTAAACGAGATTAATTTGAATAAAAAAAATTAAATAAACGTAAACATTTTTTTATTTGCTCGTCGATGAGTTTTACACATATTTTTAACATTTATTTTATATTAGGAGCACGCGCATTTACTTCTCAACATTTGACATCAACAATACTTCCATACGATCAAGACTTGATTATCAATAATGATACCTGGGTATTTTAGATGTCATATTTAATAATGTCAAACTTAATTAAGATCCTAAACAGGATTAAGATTTTAGACATCAAATCATAATTTGGAATTGTATCAAATAACTTATAATTTATAAAATAGTAATTTATGCAACAAGTTTTATATACGGCATTTTAGTCACGAGATTTAATTAGGCACGAGCAAAGCTTGCCGACCGATTTATATTACGAATTGCATACCATACTTTTTCTACGATAAACCGAAATAGTATATTATGCATCAAGTTTTATAAACGCCATTTTAGTTACACTTCGCTTCTGAAGATGCCAACATCGTTGGAGAAAAGTACTTTTTCTACTCCCACCTTTAAAGCGACCATTATCGTACAAGTTTACATGACACTAAGTGACCTTTTAAATACACATTAACAAGTTGTGGCTTTACGGCGTTTTAGTCACGGGCTGAAGTTAGCAACAGGTTTTTAGTCACGAGTTGAAGTTAGTTTTAAGATATTTGACAGTTGTCAAATGTCATACAATCGTTAAAATAAAGTGCCTATCTTGTAAAATAATACTAAATGTGAAAATTATTTATTTATCTCAATACAAAAATACAAAAGTATTAAATAGTTTCTCAACGCTATTATTTGAAAAGTTTATGTGAACATTGTACTAACCTTTTAATTTCGCCGGCAGTAAACAACTTAAATTCGGGCACGGACTCCACTGTTAAGTGCTCATAAAACATTTTCTTTACTTTCACTATAAAAAACTGTCCATTTTCAAGAAATAAATTTCGATTTATAACCTTTATAATCTGTGTTTATAAAATATAAAAATTTGACATTTGACGGTGACACACAGATTCCCCTATTGTTTCATAGATGGGGCGCTATAAAAATATTTGATTTAAATTATTTTAAGATAATAATAAGTATTTGTCGTAGAAAAAGTATAGTATGCACCTCGTTTATAAACTTTTCTATACACTCATTAATTTAAGAACTCGCTCGCAAGCTCGCTTGTGCCTAAATTAAAATTGTGTATAAAATGGCGTTTATCAAACTTGATACATAATATACTATTAAGCACTTTGTGTTTTGTTTTAGTGTTGGGGAATATTTCTAATATTTGTTTAACATAGGTATCACCAAAGTTGTCCTTTTTCAAGTTCCAATTTTATTTGTTAAAAATTTGACATCTGTCAACTGTCACCCGAATTTAACCCCACTTTTCCTTAATTTATAATATAGCTTACTTCTGCCCGTGACTAGGGCTGACAGATTTTTAAAACCAAAGTGCCTCCCGCATTAAAACAATAAAATTTTATCCAGACAAAATCATACATTTTTGTCGAACATAGCAGATTCCAACTTTTAATCAAAACCAAGGGTTATACATAGCTTTAAGACTATTCAAGGTTTGGTCCCACTCTTTTAATAATATCGTTTCTATAGAAATATATGAATGGCCATTTTGGCCAAAATGGCCAAAATGGCCTTGTCAAATTCCTGACAAGATTCAGTAAAGTTATGTTTAACCATTAGTTCCGATTCCAGCTGGGTTTACAGGGAAAGTGAATTTATCTCTTTTCTCAATGCAATAACCATTAAACTGGAAATTCTATCGCTAATCATAGAACCATATTTTTTTTCTATGAAATTGTCAGGTTTGTTCTGTCCTTTTCTGTCCGCATCATGGCGGAAATAAGATTAACGTTAAACCGTTTTCTACAGTACCAAGTTTATAAAGTTGTCAATACTACATATATTTGAATACCTATGCTAGCACACTCTATTGACAACTTTATAAAAAAAATGTCTAAAATAAATAAAAACAGTTAATTAAAGGAACCTGATAATTAGAATCTATGATCAATTCGTAATAACGCTTAAGCTTTCCAATAAACGGGAGTTTACAGGAGGTTTTCAAAGAAGTAGGGAGCTTTAAGACGTCGTTTAAAAATCGGGTCGCTTGCTGTACAACCGGGAGACTCCCGCCTAAATCGGGAGGGCTGGCAGCCCTACCCGTGACTAAAATGCTCAAAAGCCCGTGACTAAAACGCCATAAAGCTACAGCTCGTCAATGTAAGAGCTCTACTAGTAAATAATAGTATATTATGGATCAAGTTTGATAAAAGCCATTTTATACACGAATTTAATTTAGGCACGAGCGAGCTTGCGAGCGAGTTCTTAAATTAATGAATGTATAGAAAAGTTTATAAACGATGTGGATACTATACTTTTTCTACGACAAATACTTAATATTATCTTAAAATGATTAAAATCAAATATTTTTATTGAGCGCCATCTGTGAAATAATAGGGGAATCTGTGTGTCACCGTCAAATGTCAAATTTACAGTGGAGTCCGTGCCCGAATTTAAGTTATAGTTTACTGCCGGCGAAATTAAAAGGTCAGTACAATGTTCATATAAACTTTTTAAATGTTGGCGTTGAGAAACTATTTAATACTTTTGTATTTTTGTATTGAGATAATAAAATAATTTTCACATTTAGTATTATTTTACAAGAAATGCACTTTATTTTAACGATTGTATGACATTTGACAACTGTTAACTAACTTAAAAACTAACTTCAGCCCGTGACTAAAAACCGGTTGCTAACTTTAGCCCGTGACTAAAACGCCGTAAAGCCACAACTTGTCAATTTGTATTTAAAAGGTCACTTATTGTCAAGGAAACATGTACGATAATGGTAGTTTTAAAGGTGAGAGTAGAATAAATACATTTTTCACAAGAAGACTTCTTGAAATATGGCATTTTATTTTGACGACAAAATAGATTTTATGACAATTGTAGATACGACATGTTTGCCTAACAGGGTAGCTGCACTTATACCCAACTAACTTAAAGCCCGTAAATAAAAAGCCCGAAACCCGTTATTGCTAAGTTCATACCTTGACTAAACAGCTTCTCAATGTGTATCAATTAGCGTCATGAAAACCTATACGATAATGGGAGTAGAAAAAAATATTATCAATATTTAAAGCGTATAAGATAAAAGAACACAAACTTAAAGTGACGATAATTTTTTTCCAGGCCTACGTCGACAAATACAGGGGCCAAAAACTGAGCGACCGCGAACCTCACGTATTCGCACTAGCCGAAGCTGCATATGCGTCTCTTCAAACTGACACACCTGCATCACCAAACAACCAAAGTTTGGTGATCAGCGGCGAAAGTGGCGCCGGAAAAACCGAGAACACAAGATTTATCTTACAGTACCTATGTTCGGTCACCACTGGCGTCTCCACGTGGGTCGAGCAACAGATCTTGGAGGCAAATACCATTTTAGAAGCTTTTGGTAAGATTAAGTTTATATTATTTTTAAATTGTTTATAAAAGTAATTGTCAAACATTTTTACAGGAGAAATAAAAGCGATATAAAAGTTTCATTTTTGTAAATGGATGATAATAATTAAAAAGAACCATGCGCCAAATTGCAAAAATCTAAATAATGGTTGAATACGACAGTTTGGCAGCCAAACTGTCGTATGGAACCATTATCTAGATTTTTGCAATTTGGCGCTTGGTTCCTTTTCAATTATTATCATCCAAATACGCTACTGTAGTTTTGAATAGATAGTTTTTTATAGAATAGATAGTTTTTTATATACTGTCTCACTTCTTTTTAAACAGGTGTTCCTGAGCACAGTTTTGCACTTGCTGAATTGTGCTTAGGCATATATTATATTATAGGGAATTTCGTATAAAAATACTCTATGTCGAAATTAAGGAAAAAATACTAGGGTCATCTGCTTATTTGCTCGTGCTCAAATATCCGTATAAAAATAATATTTCGGGATTGGAAAATAGTCATTGCTCTAATATAGTTTTGATCATTTTTTTAAGCAATGTCAAAATTTGAGTATTGAGCGTAACATGTAACTAAAGCTTAATTTTCATGTATCCGTTTGTCCGTCATCCGTATGTCAGTTTTTCAATAAAATCGTCCGATAAGAAATGTTCTAATTTTCATGCATACGTTTTTTAATGACGTTTAACGGATTGATTTTGCGACAAATAGAAATTAAGTGTCAGTATATTCACTTACTAAATTTACCTAATGCTTAATTGTCATAGTTACAATTATGTCAACAATTGTAACTTTAACAGTTAGCTGTCTAATAAATTGAGGAGCATGCGCGCAAAACCAGCTATATCCATTTTAATAAAATGTTGTGAAAATGGCAAAAACTCCCGTTTCCTGGCATTTACAGATAAAAAATGCATCTCAAGTTTTGTGCCCAAACAAATGCCCCTTGAGTTTTGTGCCCACAAAACTCAAGATGCATTTTTTTATCTGTAAAGGCCAGGAAACGGAGGTTTTTGCCATTTTCACAACATTTTATTAAAATGGATATAGCTGGTTTTGCGCGCATGCTCCTCAATTTAAAGGTAGGTAAATATACCTCATAAAAAGAATATACTAGCCCTAATATACATTAAAATGTATAGTTTTAAAAACTGCGTCCTTTTAGTTCTAGTTTTAATTTTTTTTGTTTGTCCTTTCTTTTTTCCGATATTCTTACGAACGTAATATTTTCGTTTTACAATTTTATTGAAAAAATATAAAAATATTAAAATAAATTATCTTAAAATAACGTTAGGCGTCAAAAACAGATGTTTAGTGACGGATGAGTTAAAATTATTTAACCTTTCTCTGTCAGACGTACGAAGTTGAAACTTGACGGACCGATAAAATGTCATAATTTTCGAATTATAATTGGACCAATAAGAGCGCTCCCGGATGAACGGACTGACGGACAAACGGATACATGAAAATTAAGCTTAAGCCCGAATTAAAAAGAAAAATGTAAAAAGGGTTGAAATATGCATAAAAAGTGTCAAAAATGTAAAATTAAATAATAAAAAAATACTAATTTTGTCTTGGTAGGCTGGTGCTATTTGAAAGTTTTTTGTGAACGAAATATTTTTCTCGCAAATATAAAAAATGGTCTTTTTATGCAAATGCATGTAATCCGGGCTCTATATGCAACATACAGAAATCATGACAAGTTTTATAAAACTATAGTTTAAGAATATACAGCGCCGGATTTAGGGGGGGTCTTTGGGGGTCTATAGACCCGGGGCGCAAGCTTACAGGGGGCGCAAAATTTTTGACTGGTAATTTTTGTTTTTTACTACAACCTAAAGGGTTTTCCCCTTTTTTATTTTTCGTGTATTAATCAGTTTTAATAAAAAAATTATTTAAATTATAACCGTGATTGTTGCCATAGTATATTATTATATTATATTATAGTATATTATTATCTATGCATAGTATACGAAATATGTCATGTCACGTATTACGTAGGGCGCCCGACAAGTTGTTGGGCGACAAGAACTTTAGTTTGCAGAAATTGTTTATTTCCACCGATGCGATGCGTATGGGCGTAAAGGTTTTTTAATATAAGAATATTTTATTACACTACGAACAACTATTAATTTAAATTAGTTTAAAACTATAGTTATATACACTACCAGTCATATATATATGTATGTATATATACAGTATAGGTATTAGCCTATTGGAAGATGACGTCAATATTAATATCGCAATTGCGATAAACAAATTTGCTTCTCTAAGAGCACGCAAAGTTGAGTTGGCAAAATGTTAATTTTCTTATTTAGGTATTTGTTTTTTATATAGTTTTTGTTTATGTTTTTAGGGTGGCAATATTTTTTCGACATTTTTTTTTATTTCGAAGCTCACATGAAACAATTTAAGTTTAAAGTATTCAAGTTTTAACTCAAAAAAAAATAAACGTCGTTCAAAAAAATCAACTAAATTGGAAAAATAGTAGTGGTTACAAGATCAAAATTATTAAAAAAATCAGGAAATGTATTTTAAAAATATTGAGCGACCAATAATATTTTGACTTAAAAATGTATTATCTTCCTATACGACCTACAAAAAAAATAGTGAGAAGCCAAAGATTTTGAGAAAAAAGGTTGGTTTAAAAAAGTTTTGAGCGACGTCTAAAATTTTTTTATCTGTTGAAACTCAAATACTTTAGACTTATTTTTTTTATTTGATCTCCAAAATCAAAAAAATTTCGAAAAAATACTACAACTCTAATGTTTATGGTTAAATAAAATCCTTTTGTTAACAAGTGACATTTCTTTGAATTTATTATGTAGGTAGGGGCGGAAAATTTTTATTAGACCCGGGGCGCAAATTTTTATAATCCGGCGCTGAGAATATAGAAATAATTACAAAGAGTAGTTTTTTATTAATAAGTATTTTTTTTTGTCAAGTTTCGTTATTTTTTGTTATATCTGGTATAATTAATTTAAGGCACAGTGGGCCTGAACCAAAAAAAGGTTGCATGAAAATGACACCGAAATCGGGCTTCGGATCTTTAAAGACTAATATTAAAGGAGTTAAGATCAAATGAAAACAAAATCGCACCTGATCCTCAATGGATAAAATAGCCAATTCTTGTTTGAGTTCGGTAAAAATCATAATTTTTAATTGTATTGATTTTTTATTGTTCCCCATGTTTATAAAATTCTTTTAGATTATACTCATATGGAGGCCATGAAAATAAATGTCAAATAAATGTCAAAGTTAATTCTTATTAATTAGTTTTGTGTCTGGATTGTTGTGATTTTTAACCCGTTTTATTTAAAAAAAATGAAAACTCACTCTAAAATAAAATGTAGCCCTGAAGAAAACAGAAAAAAAGTATGTGCTGCCTGCGGAAGAAAGATTATTTTTGGAAAAACTAATTCTTCAAAATTTCTAATTAATGAAAGAACGCAAACGTTACTGCAAAAATTCTTAAATAATAATGGATACCTGCTTTCCTCTTGCTATTTCCACCACTTGTCGCCTTGCCCTCACATATCGAGAGAAAAATGTTATGAAAAGACCTTTACCGATCATTCCAAATTTTGAAGTCTTACGTTTACCAAAAACCACTAGAAGCAATGAAGAGTGTAATTGTTAAATTTGCTCAACTGCGAGGTTCAAGGGACACGAAAATTTGATTAAGGGCCGAGGACACACTCGAAACTCGAATCAAGTAATTGATAAAGAAAATGGACTTCACGGCTCAAAAAATATTTTTACCACGAAGGTGGGAGCCAAAAATATACAGAAACATGTTTTTCTTCTGAAAGCTTTAGAGAAAGTAATGATTCTTGTGTTCAAGAAATATCAGCGAAAAGTTGAAAACCTATGGAGACTTAAGAAATAGCTCATCATTTGGAAAAAATAAAAATTTTGCCAGAGATTGCCATAGCCCAATAAATCCCCCTTTGTTTCAAGAGGATGATCAAGTCTACGTCATAGAAAAATGTGTTATTCCAGAGCTACACATCTTACAAGGGTACGTTAACCATTTATTTTGGAATGGATTGGTACCATTATTAGGTCGCGATCGGGCTCTTAGTGGCCAAAGAAACTAAAATTGGTTGCAAAGAACTATCAAGGCGAAACTTTTGAAGGGAATGCATGCCGTAAGCTACTAAAAGAAGCAGATATGCTCTTGGATCAAGAAATTTAGTGTAAGTAGGTGTATTTGGAATTATGAAATACGTGTCGGCGTCTCGGTCGGCGTTCAAAGCAATGAATAAAGTCGTCGAAAGCTCATTTTCTACCAACATTGTCTCTCTTGAAATTGATGAGCGGATTAAGGCTTTTCGGAAAGCGTTTGAGGCTGTGGGCATATCCGAGAGCTTGAAAATTCATGTGTGTCTGGAACATATACAGCATTCGCTGCATTTTTTGAAATATTACCTGATGGTTTCGGTTTGGGTCTTTGTTCGGAACAGGCAGGAGAATCGGTGTGAGTTTTTGAAGTATTGGGAACGATATAAAATGAATTCAATATAAGATCCTAACTATCTAGACCGGCTTAAAAAAGCGGTGGTCGAATTTTCATCTCGACATATTTAAAATTAATTTATTTTTCTCATTTAATAATTAAAACCTATTAAAGTTTATTTGCAACTGTAATTTGCTGTTTTTTTGTTTTTATTATTTACGTTGTTTGAGTTTTTCTAGACCAATATGAACGCCACAAACAATTGGCCGTTATATTCATTGAGGATCTGATGCGATTTTGTTTTCACTCGATCTCAACTCCCTTAATGTAAATCTTTAAAGATCCGAAGCCCGATTTTGGTGTCATTTTCATGCAACCTTTTTTTGGTTCAGGCCCAGTGTGAAGGGTTTCAGATCCTTCTTAAAATTAAATTTTGTAGTTTCAAAACTATGTGTTAAAAATACATTTTGAATTGTTAAAAATATTTAGATGTCTAAGCATCTTTAAAAGTGCCAATACACATTTAAAAAGTTGGACATACCATTCAAAATTAATGGCATGCTTTTTCTAATATAGGAAACGCAAAAACAGTTCGAAACGACAACTCCAGCCGTTTCGGCAAGTTCATGCAAGTATGCTTCGACTCCAGATGGATGATAGCGGGGTGCATAATCCAGGATTACCTGCTGGAACAGTCCCGCCTCACCTTTCAGGGTCCAGGAGAAAGAAACTACCATGTTTTCTATCAACTTGTCGAAGGAGCCAAAACGAACAAAGAACTGGCCGATCAACTACATTTGAAAGACGCGAAATTTTATAATTATTTAAATCAATCGAATTGTGTTAAGATGGAGGGTGATGCCAGAAAATTGGAAAGTTTACTGTTGGCTTTTCAAGTACTGCAAGTACCGGCTAATATGTGTAATGGAATTTTTCAAACACTTGCTGCTATTTTGTGGTTGGGAAATTTGGTTTATGAAGATGTAGATGGGGAGAAGTGTAAATTAACGAAAGAAGATGAAGAAATAGCTTTGACAGTATCAGGTTTACTTGGTTTGGATATTGAACAAGTAACCCAAGTTGTCTTAAAAAGGCAAATCAATGTCAGAGGTAATATTACGGAAATTCCTCTGAGAGTGCAAGAGGTAAATATCACAAACTACAATTTTTAGGAACAATACATTATTTTATCTTTTAGGCAAGAGAAAATCGTCATGCAATGGCTAAAGCTCTCTACTCGCGTACTTTTGCATGGTTAATACAGCACATCAATAATTGTACGAATCCAGGGCAGGATTCTTCCAGGTTTTTAGGGGTTTTGGATATATTTGGTTTTGAAAATTTTGCCACCAACTCATTTGAACAACTGTGCATCAACTATACCAATGAGAAGTTGCACAAATTTTTTAACCATTACGTCTTTGCTTTGGAACAAGAAATAGTAAGTTGTTTATGGTATTTTAGACGATATTTTTATAATGTATCTTTTTTAGTATGAACAAGAAGGGATTCAGTACAATCACATAGAATTCACGGATAATACGCTTTGTCTTGAGTTACTGGAAAAGGCTCCAAAATGTGTTCTGAGATTATTATCGGAACAGTGCCATCTACCGAGAGGTTGTGATGCCTCTTATATTTCGAATTTACATTCCGAGTTCGAATCCCACGAAAGATACGTTAAAGGTAAGAGACCACTTTGTTATATATTTTTTACAGTTTTATAGCAGTTTTGGTACATATATTGCAGTTTAAAGCAGTTTTAAAAAAATTCTAGACAGTTTCAAGACATTTTTTTAACATTTAATTCTGTCTTACATTTGTAAACTGTTTTTACCACTATTTTATACGCTTTAAGGAGACTGTATATATGGGGAATTTCACGCATCATCGACCACTTTTCCACCCGGCCCCTTTTGATTTGGCTTTTTTTTTAATTTTTCTACCCCACTAAAAAAATTTCTCAGAATTTTTTCAATTTTTTTACCCAACCAAAGTTACGAATTTAAAAAAAGACTCTTTTATTCAAATACACGTAACTTTTTAAAAATTGACTAATTGGCATGTTTTTTAAAATATTTTATTCTTTAATGTTCTTTTTATAAAAAAATAATAAAAATATTTTCAATCTCAAATTTTATGAGTTTTTGAGAAAAACCATTTCAAACTTGAACTTAAAGTTCGCCATTTTTAATTTTGTTTATTTTTTTTTTTAATCTCGATTAATTCTGCTAAATCCAGAGTGGATCAACTTTTCTTTCTAGTTTGTTTATAATTGAAAATTTATTTATTTCCCAATCGTTTATATATTTTCTTAAAACGTTGTTTTGGTAAATGGTTCTATGATATTTTACACTTATGATTATGATTTAATGGTTAATACGATTAACAATAATTTAATTTTTTTACACCAATTTTAAAAACAATTTATTTTATTTATCCACAATTCACATATTACACAAGCCTTGTGACCAATTTATTAATTTAATATTTATTGTGTCCTATAATCCATCCATAAGACATTAGTGATTTATGACAAATAAAACAAAATACGTCAAAATTCACTCGTATTTATTTATTTATATTTTATTGGCTACTTACAATAAATAACATTTTTTTGGCTTTTAAATAGTTTACATATTTTATACGGGTGACATTCACAATATCGAAATTCATTATATCGAATTCAAAATATCGAACACTTTTTATCGAAAATCAAAATATCGAAAATACAAAATGTCGAAAATCAAAATATCGAAAATCAAAATATCGAATATTCAAAATGTCGAAATGAAAATATCGAAATTTTATTTAATCGAATTTTCAATTTATCAAAAATAAAATCTCGACCGCTGTCATACAGGTTATGACGAATAGCTGTCATCTTGGTTATGCAGGTACACTGCATTGTGCCATACCAAACCAACCCAAACTTAACAACCCAACCCAACCGACCCCGCCCCATTGGGCCCCTCCCGCCCCATTGAGCAATAGAGGTATAATATATCTAAGGGCAGGCTGGATTGTGACAATGGGGCGGGAGGGGCCCAATGGGGCGGGGTCGGTTGGGTTGGGTTGTTAAGTTTGGGTTAGTTTGGTATGGCACAATGCAGTGTACCTGCATAACCAAAATGACAGCTATTCGTCATAACCTTGAGGAATACTTTGCTACATTTAGCCTCTAGTTGAAAATGAGGTTAAAATATGCGACGGTTGAGCACACACATTTCTACGTCCGTCCGACGGTCGAGCACACACTTTTCTACGTCCGTCCGACGGTCGGGGAGACACTACCTTTAATTATTCGACATTTTCAAATCGACATTTTAATTTTCGATATTATCATTTTCGACATTTTGAATTTTCGATATTTTGATCTTCGACATTTTGTATTTTCGATATTTTGATTTTCGATAAAAAGTGTTCGATATTTTGAATTCGATATAATGAATTTCGATATTGTGAATGTCACCCATTTTATACTCATTTGAATTTGAAAAATTTCCATCTGTGTAATCCTCATCATAATTAATATCATTAATTACTAGGTTAGATTATAAATTAAGTGTAAAATATCATAGAACAATGGTTAAATAAATGTACCTACCTAAATTGATTTTATTATGGAAATAAAAAAGTTTTTCAATAAAAAAAAATTTAAAATAAAAAATTCGGCCCAGTTAGGAATAGCGGTTTTTTATAAAAAAAAATAAAAAAATAGCAAACTTAAAAAATTGAGGGTTTTTGTAATAAAAACTGGAAAATTATATAGAACTTAACATCATTTTTTTTAATATTTTTTCTGAAAAATACCTACATTTAAAATAAAAAAACGTCCTTAGTCAATTTTTAAAAAAGTAATGGAAATTTAGAAAAGCCATTTTTTGGAAAACAAATTTGGTTGGGTAAAAAATTAAAAAAAAAAAGTGTAAGAAACGTTTTTAGTTGGGGATATTTCCATTGTAACGGGTGCGACACTAAAACTGCGTTTTTTCATGATAATAAAGTGTTTGTTCAAATATATCAAGATACGTTAATATAAAAAAATAGTATAAAAATTAGGTATTTATATAAAAAAAAATGCCAATAAAAACTTGTATAGAAAACCTTTTATAACGTCATAAATAGCGTAACGGGCGCAACCTTAGAAAATCGGCAAATGCGTCCAAGTTGGCTTCTAAAGTTAATACTGTTAAATTTTGGATGAAAGCATATAGTAATAATTTCTTGAGTAAAACTTGAATAGTAACCTTAAACAAGCACGTATTTTAAATGCACAAATATTGTATACTTTATTTTCTAAAATTTTCTCAAAATGTTTCGGGTGCGACATTTAAACATATTATCGAGTATTGAAACTCTTTAGTGTTTATTCTTAATGTTAGCTTCTTGGCATCACAATCTACGAATATTTTAAGGGTATAAATTACGTCGCAATTAAACTACTTGTTAAATAACACATCGGATTTTTTGTCAATGTGGGGTAAAGTTTCGTGGAAATACCCTTGGGTAGATAAATATAAAAAATTTCAGCATAATCGAAAGGGGTCGGGTTCAAAAGTGGTCGATTTGGCGTGGAACGACCCATATAAAAATTATAATGTTTGACATTTGAATGTATTCTTATTTAGGTGAAGATAAAAGACGTTGGGAAACAGAATTCAGCATCAGACATTACGCAGGGGCAGTAACGTACAACGTGAAAGGATTCGTTGATAAAAACCGTGACGTACAACAAGACGTATTCTTCGATATTTTATCCCGAAGCAAAAATGAATTTGTGCAAGAATTATCCGCCTTCCAAGACTTGAGTAACACAATCGCATCGCGCGCTGTTGCCAATGGCGCTGCAACAGTGTCGAGAGGTACGAGCAAAGGAAAACCGACTGTGTCGGATGCTTTTAGATATCAATTGCAAGCTCTTGTCGATGTTCTTCAAAGTACGAATCCTTGGTATGCAAGGTGCATAAAACCTAATAAGGATAAATTACCAAATGAGTACGATAATAGTTTGGTTTTGGATCAGTTAAAGTATTTGGGGATGTTGGATATAATAAGAATAAGAAAAGAGGGATTTCCGATACATATGTCCTTCGAAGATTTTGTTATACGCTTTCACTGTCTTACCAAAAATCGTCTCCCACCGGACATGTCCAAGGCTTGTCGACAATTAATAGAAAGCCACAACCTACCAAAAACAGAATGGCAACTTGGCAAAACCAAAGTCTTTATACGATCTCACGTACACGAACCCCTGGAGGACACCAGGAATAAAATGTTGAAATCCAGAGCCATCTTAATACAAAAAACGTACAGGAAATATACTGCAAGGAGAGAATTTCTGAAAATTCGTAATGCAGCCCTTAAAGTACAACACGCTTATAGAGGTTGGAAGTCTAGAATTGAGTTTTTGAGAAAAAGGAGGGCCGCCATTGTAATTCAAAGTCATTTAAGAGGAGTATTCGCGCGGGAGGTTGCCGCAGCTTTAAGAGAAATGAGGAGGGTTGAAGAGGAGATGAGGAAAAGGGAAAAAATGGAGGAGGAAAGGAAACAAAGGGAGGCTGAGGAAGCTCTTATCAAGGAGAAGGAGGCCAGGGAGAAATTGGAAATCAGTGAAAAGTAAGTAGGAAGTTATTAGAGAGTTTATTAAAATGTACAATTTGTAATATTTTTTATTTATTTCTTAGGGCTGCGGAACAAGAAATAGCAGCACTTTCGCACATGGCTGAACAGCTTAAGCCACGTCTTACAGAGCCAGTGGCAGAGTCTGTAGATTTGGATAATTTGTTTGCATTTCTGTCGGACGTTCAGCCTCAACCAAAGCCAAACCAAATTATCGAAGAAATCGGCGAGAAAATGGACGAGCTTGTCGAAGATTTGGACGTTGAATTGGAAACAGTCATACAGGTAGGGGGGGGGGAATAATGGTTTTCATATATTTTAGACAGCTCTACACAGTGCCCTCCAGTATAATTCGGGCAAAATAATTTGAGGAGATTATTATTTAATATTTATTTATAAAAGAAAAATAAAATTACATTATTTTCTAAACTATTCAATTTATCTTTATAATATGTTAACACAAGTTTTTTGTGTTAATATTAACTTAATAACCTTGATTCAAAAAAAAATTTAATTAAATCATAATTGGCAAAAATATACTGGTTTAAGCACTAAAACACGTAATTGATTAAAATATTAACCCAGAGATCCTAGTTACTGTAAATAAATATTTTTAAGAATTTAAATTATACTATACCATATACAAATTTATCAACTTATAAAACTAGTGTTAAATTAAGATACCTAATAAAATAAATTGAAAAGATTTTTTTTTGAACCAGTATAAAATCACTGCCACTAATCCAATAAAATTAAAATTTGTAAAAAATAAAAATTATTAATAAATAAAACTTGTGTTAAAACTTCATAATGATATCGCACATGGGCGACAACAGTGTCATAAGTAGTAAAACGATAATTCCGATATAAATTAACGTAAAAGATTTTTGAATAATAAAATTCTGACATTTTTGTAAAATTATATTAACTAACACTGTAAGTTAATATAATTTTACAAAAATGTAAGAATTTTATTATTCAAAAATCTTTTACGTTAACTTATATCGTTTTACTACTTATGACACTGTTGTCGCCCATGTGCGATATATTAGAAATTTTTTAAGATAATTTAATTTTGACATTTATGACAATTTAATTAAAATTTGTGTAAAATAAAAATAAATACCACAAGCTAAACAAAATTATTTATCATTAACCCAAAGGGAGGGCATAAAAATTTAAAACGGATTCTGGACCTAAATCGTTTAGACTTCTCAGTACTTTTTTTTTTTTAATTCCGCTTGTAGAAAAAGGCTAAATCAGAATCAGCAACAATGACAAATAGTACGATAATGAGAAGCTTAAGGCTCATTGCATTAATTTATAAACATCCTCTAAAATATTTATTAATTTTTATACACAGTTTCAATCTCACATTGATAACACAGTACGACAAAATTTGATTTTTTTCCTTCCTATGAAAAATTCCTATAGATTTTGAAAATAGACTTAAAAAAATGTGTCTCGGCGTTTTTTCAGATCACGTCATTTTTTTAAGTGCGATCAAATAAAATGTTATTTACGGTTTTCGGCACATAATATAACAGCTTCGATAGACTCTATATTTGAAAGAAAAATTTATTTACTGAATAAATGGACAAGTAATATTTTTTTTAATTTATTTTAATTATATACAGGGTGTTGCACATTTACGAAAAACGGGTGTTTTAAATATTTTTTCCACTATTTTTTTAATTTAAACTACTTTGCGAATTTTTCTTAACATTTCTTAAATTTATGCCAATTTATTTTAAATCTCGGCTGAAGGACTACGGTCAATAGCCTTTGAACTTGGTTTTAGTTCAATAAAGCATTATTATTATTATTATTTTAAATATATGTTTTAAATTCTCCATAAAATTCTGAGTAATATTACTTTACCATGTCCTATCCCTAAAGTGAATAGTTTTCTAGTTAATAATTTGTTTCGATAAAATTTGACACATGCGCGTCATTTAGAAATAGCCTATAACTTTTTTCCCATTAATTTTTCGGAAATAAGAGTGAAATTTTTGAAATCTCAAAATATTGTTTAAAATATTTCATGTCAATTCTTTAGCATTTTTTGAACAAATTACCCAAGAAAGCCCAGGGCAAATTAGGCTAACTTGAAAAGTTAAAAACTTTTTTTTAAATAATATGTTTTTACATAATAAAATAAAAAATTAAAAAACATTTTGATTGAAACATTTAATTGTTACAGTTACAGTTACGCATTATTTTTGTTATTAAAATAATTCATAAAATAAATTTTATATTTTATTGTCTCCAATGACCTACCTAGTTCTTAATCTAGTTGACATTCTACATACAGCTTTGTTGATTTTTCTAAATTAGCAAATACTTACTTTTAAATTTAAAAACGTTTGGCTTGTCACTGACTGCTTTTGTATCAGTAATTTTGTTTACAAAACACTTCATTAATCAACAAATTTTTTCTAACAACCTGAAAATTTTACGCCTTTAAATTTTGAACAATGACAGATTACGTGGGAAGCACAGATACCGTCAACTCATCTGTCACAGGTTTTTTAGAAATTGTTAAATATCTCTGAAATTATTGACTTAAATACCTAAATTTAGGTATATGGAATAGTTACATTAATCGAAATGCTTTTTAATTTGCTATTTGATAAGGTAAAATCAAAATAAAAAAGTTATTAACGTTTCAAGTTAGCCTAATTTGCCCTGGGTTTTCTCGGGTAATTGTTGAAAAATGTTAAAGAATTGACATGAAATCTTTTAAACAATGTTTTAACAACAACAACATCAACATCTTTTTCCGTTCCCCAGAAACTTTCAATGGACCACGAATGTGAAACACCCTGTATATTTAGTGGTGTTTCTTTTTGTTGTGATACCACTATAAATTCTAACACAATGTAAATTAATTAAAAAAATTAAATTATTATTTTCTTTAAGTAAAATTTTTGTATTAAGTAAAAACATACAATATTTTAAGAAAAAAATGATTTATAATAAAATGGAGAAATAAAAATCTGTATAGGTTAAGAATTGCTGTAAAAAAATTATTATGACGCGATTTCGTAAAACGGTGAGACACTGGTACGTTTTTTTAACGGGAGGAAAATGGTGTTGAACTTGACTTGATATTAATAATTTGGCAAATGTCTGCGCATTCCATTAATGATCCTCGATACGCATCTTCTCTTTTAAAGGCGGTTACAAAGTTTTCGCCAAAGCTTTTGTAAATTATAATTTAATTACCTAATGTGAAATCTAGGTATACAAAAAAGTATATACAAAAGTTCTCTTCACCCTTACTACTGTATTTAATAATAAACAATATTGCTTATGTATGCATAAAATCTGATAGGTATTTTGTGTATTTAAAAATTGTAAAAATGTAATAGTCTTATCACATTCTGTTTGTTTGCTTCATAATACTTGTCTTTTAAAAATTATCCAAATGAGTTGTAAATAATCAGAACCAGCACCTCACCCTGTATCTAGGGAGCTCCAGAACAATTCTACAAAAGGTGTAAGAAAATTTTTAGACAGTTATATGACTTTAGACAATTTTAGAACATTTAAGCTGTTTTCGGATACTTTTAAAACATGTTAAGATGGTTATTGAAAATACTATTATAATTTTACTAAAAAACTTAATTTTCTTTGCAGCAAGAACTGGAAGGTCTCGCCCAGGAAAAACAAATACCAACCCCGCCAAAATTGGCCTTGCCCTCTCTCCCCGAGCCCACGGGACCGCCCCCGCCGCCTCCGCCAGCGTTCGCCAACTCCGTCGAGAGCCCCACGGTTCCGGTTCCGGTCCTGATACCGGAAGAACAAATCAACAAGACGAAACCGGACACGGAACCGATCTACGAGGCGGTGTTGCCGCGAGAGGAGCCGATGCCCGTTTGCGCGTCGCCGCCCCCGCTACCGGCGCCGCCCAAGATTTTGTCCGACTCGCCGAAAGCCAGTCCGCCGGTTACTAGATCTAATAGTGCAGTGGTAAGAATGATAATGATTGTTTTTACTGTTTTTAGGTTGTCTAACGTTCAGGAAATTTTTAACTTTATAGCATTTTTGGCGCATCGAGGCAATTTTTAGAATGTCAAAACTACATTTTGTAAAGTTTATTTAAGAACTTCTAAAACAATTTAATTTTTTTTGAATGTCAACTTTTTTTGTACACTATTTTATATTTATATTTTTTAGCCTGCAAGTTGGAGATATTCGCACCACGAATCACAAGAAATACCGAACCCGGAAAGAGAACAACGTCGCAAATACCGTGTGGAAAAAAAATTGCAGGAACTCAAAGACCATACAGAAAAAGAAAACCTCTCCGAGGAAATATTACACGACATGCTGGAGTTTGCCAATGTGCACTTCAATCAACATGAAAGGAGTCCTGAAGGTAACAATACCTAGATATAAACATTTGATAAATTTTATTAATAAACATTATATTTTATTATTTAGGTACAATAATGGCGACTTTGACAAGAAAAAGACAGAGTACTGAGATGATTCCCAAGTGTGAGATGGTTTCATACTATAAGGGAAATACGATTCCAAATAGTCATATACATATGTATGATCCAGATAATGTTAATGTTGCTTGCAGTATATTTAGGGTAAGTACTTGATTATTATTATTACTTGTTGCCTTTTTTGTATTTTATTTTATTGATGTTTTTAATTTAAAATCAAATAAATTATTGTATAACTCACATAGTATGTTGTTGCGTTGTCTACATTCCCCTGCAGGGAAATAACAACTCCCGAACTCCAAATAGTAATCCCAAATGTTTGGAGTAATACTAATCGACTGGTCTAGGGGGATTCCGCGTCGTACTTAGTTTTAAGTCGGCGTAATTGTCCCTCAAAAATCAACACCTTCCCGTCCCTCCTCCATACCCCACTGAGCGTATAGCATAGGCTCGGCGAACCCGGGAATGGCCTCTCGCTCTCGAGCCCCAAATAGGGGACAGTACGGAACGCAATGGACATTCACACCCAGCAAACACGGGTGAAGCCGTGCAGTTGCTGGGGAAGAACAAAAGTCGGCGTAAGTAAACATAGGCCTGTACGGGGTTCGAGAGTCAAGAGGAAATGGGGCTGGTTATATGTCTCTTATACTCATACTCATATAACTCACAATGTGGATTGTGATATAACTAAAATTTGCAAGGCGATCTTGTAAATTTTTTATTATTAAACAATAATTTCTGTAATTTTTCAGGAAATATTATATACAGTATTTTTCAAGATGTAAAAAAGAATAGTAAAATATTACTTAAATTGTGCATTTTTGTACGATTTATGTCAATGCCTCTATGGCCAAAATTCAAGGGCGTCGCCTATATTATACCTAGAATATACGATTTGGGAGTAAATTTACGCTATTTATAGCGATTTTCCAAAGTATAGAATTTAAAAAAAATTGAATGTTAAAATCTAAAATAAATCGCAGAAAAAATAAAATATGTTGACATTTTAAATAGGCTTTTTAACCTATTTTCGTGAAAAATCTTCAAATGTATTTAATTATACGAATTTAACCGATTAAGCAATTTTAAGAATTTTTCTTTTAGTTAAAAAAAATAATTTGACCAGCGCACAGTGGTCCCAGTGAAAATGTGTTTTTATGGTCAATAAATCGGAATGTCAGGTCAAAATTTACAAAAGCATTTCATTAGCTTTAAAAACAAGCCTTCTTAATTTAAATGTTTTGGTAAACTTTTTTATGAAATCAAACCACAGTGGTCCTTGATTTATTTCAATCCAAAAGTATTTGCACCTCAATTTTTTGTTTACAATATTTAGTTTCTTATACCATTTTGCATTTTTTCAAAACATAGGTAGATTTTTTTATTTATTATTTATATGCTACTAGAATACCATCTTGTGCAATAATAAAAGAAAAGTAAAATTGGTGTTGAATAATACTATATTATTATACAAGAGATATTGCACAAAATATATTAATAACTTTGTAATCGAGGACCACCGTGAAACTTTATTTTATAAGAATAATGCGAGGTTCTAAAAAAATAAAGGTTCATTTTAACATTTAACCAATCCGCAAACCACCACCCGAAGCCTATCAAAACAAATTTAGAAAAAAAGTAGCATATGTCCGTCCCTGGGAGTCAAATTATCTTCAAATTTCATCAAAATTGGTTTATCAGTTTAGGCGTGAATGAGGAAAAATGTCGTATAGACTCGTATTTATAATACGTAGAGTTTTTAGTTAAATAGGTTTATTTAAATTTTTTACGTTTCTGAGTTAATTTTTATAAGAATTGTATACAGGGTGTCCCGAAAATTGCTCACTAAATTAGTTAGTTTTCATTCTTAAAACGATGCAACTATTAGCAAGAAGGTTATTTTAGGTAGTAATCTCAGTCAATTTTTTATAATCTAAATCTTGGAATTTTTTATATATTATACAGGGTTCGGCAATGAAACGGGAAGATTTCGTAATCTATTTTTATGTTGAAAAATTATTTTTTTTATAATTAATACATTAATGGGAAATAAAAGAGTGGCCATTTGAGTTACAATGTTAAAAAAAATATTTTTTGAATACTCGGCCATTTCAAGCGGATGGACGGGACAAATCACAAAACTGTTTTTATAAAAAAAATTGTAGGTAATTTATTATATATTATTTTTGCATCAAAATTGTCAAATATATTCTTCTATTATTAGACTATGCATTAAATAAAAAAAATCGCAAGAAATATTTTATAAAAGTAGAGATAATTTCAATAATTAACAGGGGTGGACGGGACAAGATAATTCTATTTTTTGTCCCATCCACACCTTTCAATTATTAAAATTATATCTACTTTTATAAAATATTTCTTGCGTTTTTTTTTATTTAATGTATAACCTAATAAAAGAAGAATATTTTTGACAATTTTCATCCCAAAATAGTATATAATAAATAATCTACAATTTTTTTTATAAAAAGAGTTTTGTAATTCGTGCGTTTCGCGCGCTTGAAATGGCCGTACTACATCTGCCAAATGTCGTCCGTTGACATTTATGCATTCTTAAAGTCGAGCCTGAAAGTTCTGCATAACTCTTCGCAGCATATTAACAGGTATTGCTGCAATCTCCTCACGAATTCGTTGTTTGAGGGCCGGGATTGTCCTGGGTGGATCAGTTGCAAACACTTTTGTTTTTAGGTAACCCTGTCAACATAAAAATTATTTACGAAATCTTCCCGTTTCATTGCCGAACCCTGTATATATATACAATATTTTTAAAAATAGGCTTCATTTTTTTTTATGTTTATGTTAAAAGTACATACTTACCTTAAGGAAGATAACACAGTTTACTGCAAATGCAGATTTAAAAAAATAAAATAATTACACAGCTTTTAACTTAATCTAAGTAAGGCACCACCTAAACTACAATTTGTCGAGACTTGTTTGGTTAAGGGTTTGCGCAAATAAAATTTCAAATGAATAATTTTGAGCTCTGGAGTATTTATTTTTTATATATCCACATAAATATGTCTATAAAATAGGCTTTTGACCAAAAAAATCCTTTTTAGAAACCATAGTGCGGCGACGTTTTTGTTTTAATCCGATGATTATCTGGTGCTGCATTCTTTTACCCTTTGATTTGTTTGTTTCAGGACCTGTCGAAATACACCCGAGGCGAACTGAACGGCGAGCGCGAACTGCAAGTGATCCAATCGATCATCGGCTACGCACTCGAACGCGAAGAGCTGCGCGACGAGGTGTTCGTTCAGTGCATGCGTCAAGCAACAAACAACCCGAGTTCCGAGGGTACGGAAAGAGTGTGGTTGCTCTTGTGTTTATGCGTGGTGTCTTTTCAGCCCTCGAAGTTGTTGCACAGATACTTTTTGTCCTTCCTGAAGAAGAATTTGGTGCATGGCGGCCGAATCGCGCAGTATGTGCAGTGGTGCTTGGATAACTGTAATAACACTAAGGTTACGGTCAGGGAGCACCCTCCCTCTGCGGTCGAGGTGGCGGTAAGGACAACACGCTTTCTTGCTTTTTGTAGTTTTTTTTTGTTGGATATTTTAATTAGTGATCGACCGATACCGACACGAAAATATCGACCATCAAGCCGATTATCGATATCGGCCGATATACATCACTATATCGGCCGATATATTATTTTTTTGATTATTCACAAGAAAAGGTTTAAAAAATTAAAAAAAAACTTTATTAAACATGTACACTATCGGACAAAAGTAAAGAAACATTTTAAAATTTTTGTTAAATTGCATACCCTAAAAGAGAATAACTTAAAGTGGAATAAATATATACCTTTTATGGTTGTACTTATTTAGTATTAATTATAAGGTTTAAATAATTACACATTAAATAATAATACAATTTTATGGGTTTTAAAGCGGCCTAAAGTAAAGAAACTAAATATTTTTTCTAAGATAAACAAATAAAAAATTAGTAACGGGTATCATAACTAGGGTTACCAGATTCTGTCAAAAAAAATGGGGACATTTTGTGTGAATGAACCTTAATTACAAAAATGACACACTCAACAATAATTAAGTAACGTCAAACTTACTATTTGCATTGTATCTTTATGTCAATTATATAATTAAGATAAATTTATACAAAATGTCCCGATTTTTTTTGATAGAATCTGGTAACCCTAATCATAACCATTATTTTTTATAAATTCTGCACATAAGAAATTTTGTTTGTTTTTATATATATAAAAAATTACTACAAATTATAATCAATACAAATATAAAAAAAATGTTTAAGCGTACAATAGTAATAACTCTTTTTAATTTTCTTAAATGGGATTGGGCATGGGGTTTTAGAGTGTCGAAAAAAACGGAAAAATTGGGGAAAAAACCGTTTTTTCCAGGCCTTGGAAAAATTGATTTTTTTTTAAATTTACAAAGCAATTAATTAACAACTTAACATTATTTTAATGTTTTTTAAGAATAATTAATTTATTACAGAAGAAAAAACAAATAAAACTAAACATTGAATTAAATTGAATAAAGAAAATAAACTTAACAGTATATTTGAGTACATTAGATGCACAACTCTGTATTTGCAGGATAAGTGATTTTAAGAAAAACACGAAAAACCGCTCATAAGGTCATATTTGAAAAAAAAATACAAAAATCGTATAGACGTGCTTTTACATCATTTCTTATTTAAAAAAGTAAAAAAAGTCCTTTAAAATTAAGTAGTTTAGTAAATAATTGAAATCAAAAGATTTAAAAACATAGTTTTGCATCTTCCTCGTTCAAATACCAAGTTTTGCAAGTGAAAAGTGCAAATACCAAAAAAATAACAATTAATCAGGTGAATGTTATGCCGTCAGTTAATGCGTATACTAGCGACGTGATTGGTGATTGGTCAAATACCGAGTTTTGCATCCGACAGGAAGAAACAAATACCCAGTTTTGCAGCTGCGGTAAGTTTATAAATGTATTTTATTCTACAAATATTAACTTATGCATCTGGTTTACTTAGGTATGCTGTGGGCAGTGCAGTTATGAACATAAATAAGATAAAATATATATTTTTTAAAAATGTGCAAAAACCGAGTTTTGCATCTAATGTACTCATTTGTCCATTAAAAATTACCATTTAAAAGATACAAAATTATAATTTTATAAATCAATGTGTCAAGTAAAACGATAGTTATGTTAACGATTTTGTTTTATTTGCGACCCAGTAGAAGATTCTTACTGAATTATAATAATAGAAATAATTATTATAATTATGTATGTTTTATATCATATGAATAATCATTATGATTATAAAATCAGTCAAAAATTCACTTTTTTCTTAATAACAGTGTACAGATATTTGTACATTTTCAGAAAATTACCTACCCTATGAGTAAAAAAAAAATGCAAAGGTCAATTGTTCTGAAAATTTGCCAATTTTTCCGTTTTTTACTGACTATTTCCCTCGTCTTAATTTATACCAATCACAAACGCGCAATTTTGAATTACAAATGGTTTCTAGGTGAAAAAACTTTGTGACAGCACCTGTCAGCAGTTTTTTCGAGTTTACCCGCGGCAAAACTTGACAGCTGTTGTCACCAAAAATTGATATTATATTTTAATTGTTAACTGTTACTCATGAAATAGTCTTGTCAAATACCATTTGGGCATCTAATTTTTCCTGTGAAAAAAATCGAAAAAACACAATGCTAAGTAATATTTTTTAACAAAATGCATTCGTGCAGGTGCAAAAATCCTCCTCTTCGACTCGGATTTTCGTTGCCACCAGCACTCATGCTTTTTGTTAAAATATTACTTAGCAACGTATTTTTTCGATTCTTTTCGGAAAAATTAAATGCCCTTATGATATTACTTACGAAAAAAACTGTTTTTCCGCCGGCTCAATTTTTCCGTAAATTTTAAAACCCTAGTTGGGCAGCATAACGTAATAACGTTCTTAAAATTATTTTAAAATGCAAAACACGCACCTCTACTGGGTTCCGCGATTTTCAAACGATTTAAAATTCAAAGTTTAAAAAATATACATTACCTAGAAACCTTTGTTGGAAATAAAACTAAATAATTCATTCGTGACTCAAAATACTCCATTTCTGAGTATTGTCACGATTGTTGCATATGCTTCATTTGTAAGTCTTCGTAACCTATAGAATAGAAGTTGATTCAAACTGATTTTCAATAGTATGTTTCATTCTCATTCTTATTTTTATATATTTTTTATTCAACGTTTATTTTATTTAATATGCTAATTTTTAAAAATTAGGTACCTATGTTATTTTTTGTACACAAAAAAATGATTTAACATTGTTTCTTTATTACATGCTTCCACACAGTCACACTGTATGCCATTATAATCACTTGCACTTGCAATTCAAGCTTGGTTAAGCCCTTAAATTATTTATTTCTTAAATACCTTAAAATAACCATTTAACACATTTCCTTCTCTAACCCCTCAAGGCTATGAAACGCCTCGGCACAATCGTGTGCCGCTTCTTCTTCCTGGACGGGCGCACCAAAGCCATAGACGTGCACCCCACAGACACCGCAGGAGACGCGGCCAGGAAACTGGCCGAACGCCTCAACCTGCGAAATCTAGACGGCTGGGCCATCTACCAGAGCCGCCCCGATGGCGAGGAGCACGTGCGCGCGCATCACTACCTCTACGACGTCATTGCTCAATGGGAAATGTAAGTGAAATTAAGTGGTTTTTATGGTTGGATTTCGCTACATTTTTGTTTTTTTTTAAGGAATCAAAACAAATTGGTGGCACCCACAGGTTTATCAACGTTAGGAAGAAGAAACAATACATCTTTAAGCGGAGGAGAAAATCGTTTTATTTTTAAACGTAGATTATTTAAGTCTAGTCGAGAATTAAGTCAGGATCCTGTAGAAGTTAATCTGCTTTATGCTCAAGCTGTTTACAGCGTTGTCAAGGTAAGAAAGCTCCTCTAAAGATTATTTACAAAATGTATTATTATAATATTTATTAGAATATTATAATAATTATAATTATAATAATTATTATATCCCAGTTAACATTAATAAATTACCTATGGATTCACATGTAAGAATTTTCAAGTCATTTCATTCACGGATTCACACTGTGAGGCCACCCATTAATCTCGTGACGCTGAAAATGTCACCTGACAAAGTAATTTGATTAAAATTGCTTATTTATTTTATTTTTATTTAGATTATACAAAAGAAGTGTAGGAATTTTTTTAGAGGGTATGGGGGTCTTTACATCGTCACATTCTGTCACAAGGGAGATGATGGCCCCTTTCTTCAGATCCGACAAAATTTGAAGTCAAAGTGAATTCATATAGGTTCATTTTAGGTCAAGATTGATTCATATGAATCCACAAGTGGATTTGAGATGAGAATTACCGTGACCTCTTGTGAATGTGACCTTCTTTGTAGATCAGTTAATTTTTGAACAAACATATTTTTTTTTCAAAACTTTTTAAATTTTGACCTAAGATATCTTTTGAATGGCTAGGTTTACGAAAACAAACTTTTTTGTACAGCATTCAATTCCCTATCGAAATGTTTATTGGGCCTAACTTTGTATTTATTTGTTAGTGAGATACATGTTTTTTATTGTAAGTAAAGAAAAAGAATAGTAGATTTTTTGAATCACCCTAATATCTATAAACATATATGGGGCATAACACGCTAAGTGATTTTCTAAATTATTGTCTTATCATACTACTTTAATTTTGCAAAAGGGTGAAGGCAAAGACAGGGGTTTAAAAATTTGATTTTCTTATTGTATTATAATAAGTACTATAGTACTTATGTCAAAATTTGACATTAATGTCATGATTTTTTTTAAATCGAGAAATTACGTATCATTTAGTTTTTTTCCGCGCTTTACAATAAAGGTGGTTAATTCAATTCGTACATTGATATCGGGAAAAAGTGAATTTCCGATGCTGAATATAGTCATAATATTATGATTATAATAATTATTACTTTAATTTTAATTCAGCAAGAATATTCTAAGGGGTCACAAAAAACATATTTGCTGCTGTATTAACATAACTTTCGTTTTGTATTCATCAATGTAAATGTTTTTTTCCTTTGAGGATATTTTTTTTTAATTAAAATAATGTTAAGTTATTGATTGCTACTTTTTTTCAATTGTGTATATTTTCCAAAAAAAAAATCAATTTTTCCCAAAAAAGACAATTTTTCAAAGGCCTGGGAAAAAAACGAAAAAAACAGGTTTTTACCCCTATTCCTTTCCCTAAATTTTGATGTTTATATTAAAATGGGATCTCGATATTTACTTAAAAAATTAAAGCTCGCAGCGTTTTTTGATTTATGTACTACATAAGTGAATAAATAATAAAAGTCTTACAATTTTTGCAATCATTTGTACATATATTAAGAAATATGTATGTTTGTGTTATATAAGTTTAAATCAATAATTCTATTTTTGTAGTAAAAAATAAACATAATAAACATAAAAAACAGTAAAAAATTAACATTCTTAATAAATAACTTAGTTCAATAATTGTATGATAGATACATAATAACATTATTTTGACTTAAAACATTTTATTAAACATAAACTATTTTGAATGAAAGAAAGTTTTTGAACTTCATTTACTTAGTGTTTTAAATCACAAAGTTTCTACAACAATCTTGTTCTAACATTTTAAACTTTTTTAAACGACTTTTTATAAAATTATTGTATAACTTAATTTTAGTGTGACGACTTCCCAGTCACAGAAAAAGTCGCCCTACAACTGGCTGGTCTACAAGCCCAAGTGGCATTAAGCAACCCGAAAGACAACAACAAGCTGGAGTACTACACAGACATAGACACATATCTCCCCTACAGAATAAGCAAAACTAGAGGCGATGACGTATGGGTGCCCATTATAGCACAAGCGCACAAACAGTATGGCGCAAACCGCACAGAATTAACCGCTAAAGCTTTGTATTTAAGCTGCGTCATGCAGTATCCTTTATATGGTACTACATTGTATCAGGTTAGTTATAGAGGTTACTGGTCGTATGGCAACGCGTTGATAATGGGGGTGAATAGTGATGGAATTATGTTGATTAAAAACGACGATAAGTTTGTTTTGAACGAATTTAGATATCAAGAGGTTGAGAGTATATTATTGGACCCAAGCGATAGTTTCATAACTTTAACACTGCAAAGACATCCCACAGAAAACAGTCATAAGTGTTATGTGTTTGAAACGGCGCAGAAGAACGAAATAGGTTCGTTGATAGCGAGTTACTGTCCAACTTTAGCGGGGTGGATGACTGAAAGTGAAGCTCCAGCTAAGAGGGCCAAAGCTATAACAAACGAGGACAGAGTCAGATTATATCATAATTTAGTGAACTGTAGAAGAGCTTTGGTCGATCATGAAATACTGAGGAAACCCACAGACTCGTCCGGAAGCTTTTTAAGGAATACATTGAGAAGATTAAGCAAAAGAAACTTGGATAAACTTCGTCAAGAGCATGGAGGTGACGCTGGTGAAACATACAAAGGTTTTCACTACGCTTTCTGGGCTTTTAGCAGGCAACCATTGTCCCAGAGTATCAGTAGAATGCCTGAAGTTGACGAGCAACCAATGCTTCAAGTATTCCAGATTATTTTAACCTATGCAGGGCTGGGACAAAACGGAGATACAATAAGGAGAGTTGAGGATGAACATGTAGCACTATTGCAGACTATTCTAGAAAGATGTATGAGGAAAGAAACGCATTTGTGCGAATTGTATTTGCAGTTAATAAAACAAACTACAGATCATCCAGATCCAAACTCAAGAGTCAACCTGAGACACTGGGCTTTAATATCCCTAGCCTGTTCGGTGGTATTACCACCCAATAAAGCCATAAGACGATACCTAATCGCGCACTTGAAACGCTGCAGCTCAGACTACGTCACCGAAGAAGGTAAATACGCGCGCTTTGCGGAAAAATGTCTTCTAAAAACCCAAGGAACCCGTAGACGCCAATGGCCACCATCGCGCGAAGAAATTTTGTGCACAATAAACCGCAGACAAGTGTACGCTCGTTTCCACTTCATGGACGGGAGATACCATTCCGTGGAATTTAATCCTTCAGCTACTGCCAAAGATGTCCTCGAAGCTGTCAGAGATAAAATCGGTTTAAGTGGAGATGCGAAAGGGTACGCCATCTATGAAGTGCTCGGTAACTCTGAACGCTCCCTGTCGGCGGAAGAGAAAGTTGCCGATGTGATGGCCAAATGGGAGAGGTAACTATTTTTTGTATCCTAGATCTAAGAGGAGAGATAGATTATGCTCCATCTCCTCCTAAACTTTGCTCTAAAGTTATTTTGTAGAATAGAAATTTATGCAACAAGAATATAAAGCGACACTTTTTTGCACTTATGAGGAACTTTTATAACGAGCCGGGGGCTAGTGATAAAACGTAGTGCAAAAAAGTGGCTTTATATTCGAGTTGCATACATTATTTTTTCTAATACCATAATAATTTAATAAATAATTACTAATGATGTGAAGAAAAAGTGTTGACATTTTCAATTATTTTATTTTGATATGTATGTATACGCTAAAGAATCATCGCTAGTAGCGCCACCACGCACACTGGGAGGAATTTCAAAAATCGCGGACAAAACCCTATTTTGTAAAAATCAACATGGTAAATTTTAAATTAGTTATAAAAAAAAGCCCAGAGATTATGATTTTAAAAGAAATATATTTTTTTATGATAAAATTCCCGCTTAAACTTGCTTAAAAAGTCACATTGTTCGTGTCGTTTTTTTAGAGCAAATTGTATGTAAGTTTTTCAAGCCCATTTTTGTTTTGCGTAATTAATGAAAGGAAATGATGGTATATTTTACCACATTTCTTATCCTTGTTCTTTCATATAAAAGTCTAAAATTGCAAATTTTACCATAAATGCGGTTTTTATAAACCTTTTACCATCGCCTTTCAAAGTAGATAAATCTTTTACAATCCACAAGATATTTCTTTAGGTGTGTCTTGGTGTGAGGCAAAGTATTTGGTACCAGAACGTTCATCAAATTTTCTTTTTTTAAAGTCAAAAGAATTAAGCTGCCTTTTTTTGCCTGTTTGGTCAGCAAAATATGAAATATGTCCATGAATTTATCACATTAGTCGAATATTTATAAGTCAATATAGTTGCCGTTTGCTAGTTCTAATACGTCAGTTTCCAGTGAAAGTCAATCAAACATACAATCTCATCGTGTTTTTGTGTTTATTAACGCTTTATAATAATTTTTGGTAAGTTATAATATTAATATTAATATAAATATTACATGTTTATTTGAATAACTTGCTTCTTTTTATGTAGAAATGCCATCAACGACTAATAAGGAGTTGTATGAACTTATTAAAAATATTAGTAACAAAGAGAAACACAACAAACTTTTAAAGTACCTAACCGAAAACTTGGATATTTTTGATAAATCCTATATTGTCCCCTGAATCCGAAAATATCGTCAAAAGTTAAAAAAGTAAAACAGTTTTTGAGATATAGTCAATTTTTCCGAGAATTTTTCATTTAATATGGAATTGACTATATTTCAAAAACTGCTCCACTTTCATAATTTTTTATGGCATTTTCGGATTGTCGGGACAATTTTACATAAGAATTCGATGTTAAATTTTGGGATACCATTATATTCCATGGTTAACTATGGTACAAGTGAAAAAGTAGCCACTAATAACTATTAAATTAGTCATTTTTGACTAATTCATTTTTAGAGAGTAGGTAAAAAACGTGGATTTAACCGGTTTTGCTTTAAAGTCAACTTTTAAATGTTATTTTAACATCGATATAGGGTTTTTTGGAGCAAGTCACTTTAGTAGTCGATATAAATAAAGCAAAAGATGCGAAATTTACAAAGAAAAGATGTATCGAAAAAAATGTATAAAAGTGATTTTGCTAGAATATTCCTTAATTGTTATTGTTTTTTTTTGTTTATTTTTCTATTTTTAGCTTAGGTAATATTGCGTAATATATTTGTTTATTAATTTATATTTTTGGAGAATGGATGATCGACAAAACCGAACTTTTCCAAATTGTTTAAAACAAATTTGTGAATTTGTTCACATAATTAAAACATTTTATTAATATTAGTATTTTAGCATAAATTTACCACCGCATAAACCTTAAAATGGCTTAAAATAAAGTGTCCCTAATTTTGTCCGCGATTTTTGAAATTCCTCCCACTGTGCCACGTGGGCTTTATCATTGTAACCAGAATTTAGCTTTTAAAAAGCAGCTGTCAAACGCGTATGTTACAAATGTTTTTTAAAATAAAGCCGGAAAATCTTTAAAAAAAACCGTGGTACGATTTGTTGTGCTTTTGGGTGCTCTTCGAGAGGAAATCCTGGAGCGCGTTCGAAATCTCTGGTATATACCTAGATATATACAGCAACTGTTCGAAAACAGTAAGTATATGCCCAGAGTGCACTCTCAGTTGTCCAAGCTTTAGACTTGGTTAAGTTTTACCTGGTATATATATATATATATAGGGTACATCAAACAATATTTTGAATTTACCGTCATATAATTTATTAATATCCATTTAAAATTTAATAACAAAAACGAAAAACAGTAAAATAAAAGAATTTATTTAAAATAAATTATTTAAAAAATATCAACTCTAAAAAAACAAAAAAAAATAGCACAAAAACTTGAATAAACCATATAACTAAAGGGTTGAAACACAATAATTTAATATTTATATGTATTCAGTCAAATAACAAGCAAAACCAATTGGTTTTAGAACACTAAAACATAAAGGTTATAGGTATATGCTCTGCGGCGTTCGAAAATAACAAGGAGGTCAGGTTAATGTAAAGTCACGTGATTATATACTTATCCTTAACCATATCCAAAGTAGACTCTTATTTTGAACGCACTCCTGGGTTGAGTTTTTACCGGCTTCCCAATAAACAGTGGAAATCCAAATGAAGAAATAAATTGCATACAGTTCCTGTAAATATAAATTGTACCTATTTGATACAATAAATACACATTTTAGTAATGATTTACGTAAAAATTGTAAACATTTCAATTCAGTAAAAATCATAAAACAAATAAGTCGTCTAAATTCAAACAAGCATTTAGCATTAATAAAAACGTTGTTAAGAAAGTCTCCACTCAACAGTAAAATACGAAGAACGGGTATTATATTATGTATTATATAAAATATTATGTTGCCATGAATTCGTAGGAATATTTTGTCGTTTAAAATGCAGTTGTCGGCGTTTTTTAGAGGACTCAAATATAAAAATATTCGATTTTAAGGTTATGTTTGTTAGATTTCTTAAACAAGCTTAAATATAAATTATATTAGGCTCAATATTAGATAAAGTTAACATTAGTTAACTCTGCACCAACAAATATACATACCGTATTTCACCATGATCACCATGATCACATGGATCAAATACATACACTAACGTAACTATATAAGCATATAAGCGTTGAGTTTATTAATGATATAGGGAATAACAAATTGTAATCGAGTACTATATAAAAGTTTTTTAGTTTTTACTTGCAACACGAAACACAAATAACGTGCACGATTTAGCTGTGCATTGAACAAAATTTGTCGTGTAAGACTTCCTCTTTTTTGTGAAAAAACTACTTATTTATTTAAAAATGATGTGCAGTTCGTATGGTTTAAATGTATTGTTGACAGTTGTTGAATTCACACCATGTTATCGAAGACCACCAGAAAACGCGCGCGTTGCGAAAAACTGATGCTTCTTTAGCGTATTAATATTAATAACAATAAAAATTAAATTAATTGTTTTCTTGAATAAAAATTATTTAATTTAGGTAGAATTGGACGGCTTTCTGCAGAATGGGACCAACCAACACCATGATTAAACTGAGAAAAAAGCTATCAAAGATTTTAATAATTTTAAAATTACCTGTTAATTTTATGCCGATTTTGGACTTACGGAGGTTTAAGGGATATAATTTAATAATTTCATCAGGTGGATTTTGTGATGTTATGTGTAAGGGTGACGAAAAAAACGGGCTTTTGTTGGTTGGTTCCTTTCTGCAATTTATGAAAACTACTATCTGATGTATGTATGTATTTAAAGAAAAGCGACAATTATTTATTTCCAAACAAAATACAACTGATATTACTATTATAATGGTAATATGAATTAATTTTGATTCTATTTGAAATTCGTCCACATCATCTTCCAACCCCACCTCATCTTGTAAGCTACCAAAAAAATGCATTAAGACTTTATATTTTGCAGAAGCAGGAAATCTTTAAAGACTTTGGTAGTGGGTCTACCATCCTGCTTTTTTACAAAAAAGATCCAACCCACTTGCAGATATTCTACAGATTCTAATTCTGGATTAGTAATCCACACTATTATTGAATGTTGGTTGGTTCAATGATTAATAGATTTCACTACACTTGCATTTTGGCTATGACCTATTTTGCAGATAAATTATACATACTTAATTAGTTCATAGGCTAAATATCTCGATTTTTTGGTTTTGTGGGTTGGTTCCTTTCTGCAGAAAGGCGTCCAATTATGTGCTGATTTAATTGCAGTGCAAAAATAGGGTGCAAAAAAAATACTTTTTTGAATTGTCAAAGATGTTTACATTTAAATGTCAACAAAAAAGCCGACTATTTGACAATGGTTTTGGAATTTTTTTTAGGTATAGGGCAGCCTCAGCTGCAAACCAAACCAATAACCAAAACACTGTCAAACGTGCTGCCAGACCACAAAATCACTTTTTCTTGTTCAAAAAACACCTATTTATGGATAACTTTATTAATTTATCTGATCCTGTGGAAAAAGAATTATTATACCATCAAGTTTTGCACGATTTAAGGACCGATAGATTCCCTATAACTGATAAGGAAGCGGTAAGAAAATTTTAAAAAATATTGTTTTATTAAAATAGAAACAAAAAGTTTAATGTAAATAAAATTGTACATTTTTTAACATTTACATCTAACTACAGCTCACATTCTAAAAACCATTATATTTAGCTTGTGTTGACAACTGTTTTATCAAGCTTAGTTCATATTAGAATTATTTGATTAAAAAGACTGAAACACATTTTTTAGATGATGTTAACCGCCCTCCAAGCCCAACTAGAACTAGGTGACCTTGAAGAAGTGATCCATGATTACAGGCCAATAGCTTGTCACTGTCTTCCGGCACGCATGGTGCCCAGCATACCGCCAGAGGGCGTCCAGATGCATCACCAATCGCTTAGAGGCATGACGGCCTCCGAGGCCAAACAGGCCTTCTTGAATTTAATACAGAGCTGGCCGTTGCATAAGGCCACTATCTTTGATGTTATGGTAAGTTTTTATTTACATTTAAAATTAATTTGTTATTAAAAAATCAATTATTTTTTAGATAAAATCAATAATATTAAATTTAATTAATCAATCTAAAATACATTTTTATTGTTGAAAAATTTGAATTGAAAACATGAGCGATAAATTACGAACAATTTCTAGATTCTTTTATGTCAAATTTATAATAGTTAATTATGTCATAAAAGTGGGCCTTTTTGTGATGATCAAAGCACAAAAAGACCTTCTGGGCCAAACGGCATTCAACATTTTTTCAAGGCACTGTATATGCAACTAATTTATTAATACACCTGTCAGGCGGGTCTCACCTCACTTATTCCCAATTTAAGTGCTGTCACTGGCGGTTAGAAAAAGTATAACTCTTGAGAAATGGCCATTTCTTTTCAACTTTTCATTCTCAGGGAAATGGCCATCTTTGTTGAACAATATACTATTTTTTTGTTTACTGCTGATTTTTATGTGTCTTATAGGCAATAACGTTGCAATAACATTGTTTGAATTTAGATTTTTATGTGGGGGACCTAATGTTTGTTTAAATGTAGAAAATAACGTTTTCCCACGTTTATATAATATTTTTTTAAAATTATTGCTTTTGCATTTATTCTCGTGATACGAAAAAAAAAGAAATAGTAATTTTTTCTGCAATTTTACAATTTTTTCCTGCAAGTTTTGAATGGCCTTACTAAGTAACACTAAAAAAATTATTTTTATTAAATTTTATGTATTTTAAAATGTTCAAAAAAAAACAATTTTTTAAAACGAACCCAATTTTTTCGGCGCTCTAAAACGCTACACGTAACTTTAAAATCCGGGACATTTCAACATTAAATTATAATTGCAATAAAACAAAGTTTCCCCAACATTAGAAAAATGTTTTTGCCTATGACACTATAAAGTTTGCACGACAATTCAGGGCCGTTTCACGACAAAACCACATTTTTAAACGTCAATAATAAATTTTACCCGGCAAGAAAGAATGTACCACATTGAATATGAGAATGAAGGACAACATAATTAATTACTGATTCCACGACAGGAAAGTCATCCACACGTCAGTGTTTTTTATTTGGCCCATTACTAGACTAATCTACCCCACCGACCCACCCTGCTGAAAAAAAACTGAACAAGAAATGATCGAGTTTTAAAACTTGATAATTTTTCGATGCGGTTTTTGTTACTTTTTTTCGTGATCAAAAAGGATCGAGATTTCAAACTCGATCCTATTTAATCATGAAAACAGGATCGAGTTTTTGATCGCGAAAACAGGAAACAACAACAAAAATTATCATTTTTAACATCTGTCATATTTGAAGTCTTTCTTTTTTAACATCTGTCATTTTTGACATCTGTAATGAGGTAACAGATATCTAAATTGGGCTATGACAGATGTCAAAAATGAGTTATGGCAGTAATTTTTTGAACTACTGCGCAAATTTGTTCTATCATTTTTTAGTACTGTGCGAATTTGTCCTACCCAAGTTTTGGTTTACCCCTGGCAAGAACTATTACTTCAAAAAGTCAAAAAAAATTGCTTGTATCTCAGAAAAGTCCTGCCAATAAAATTCCGGAGATTATATACAGTACAGTGACGGACACGGAATTTTGAACGGCTTTCGTCCAGTTAATATTAAAATCTTAACTTCCTTTATGGCCAACTAACCTTACTTCCGGTTATCACTAGTCTTGTCGTTTTGACAGCGAAAGCAAAAATGGACAATATTGTTTCTTTGCTATTTACAGATTTATACATGGACAACCAAATTATAATTTTCAAAATTCTGTGTCCGCCACTGTACCTAGGTAGTACCTAGGTAGTATACGTAGTAAACGTCTAATACTAAGTATAGTAGACTTCTATTAGAAGTAGCCAAATATATTTAAATGTTTTTATGATCAAATATGATACAGTTTAAAATCTGATCGATTCTGATTAAATAAGATTGACCCTAAATATTTCATTAAAACCTGTTAATTAAAACTAGATCATGTTTTTATTATTAAATATGATCCAGTTGATGCATAGGTACTTTATAATAAATATTGAACCTTACAAAATATTATCAAACCTCGATCGTGTTTTTATGGATATCTGATCGAAATATGATAAAAAAAGTTTTTTCAGCAGGGCAGCGTCATAAATGTTCGCGCATACCGTATTTTCCGATACCGGTTTATTTTCACTAGTTTCATTACATAATATGAAAGCTCTGATTCCTATTTGGAAAGAGAAGCAAAGATACCTAAATATAAAAATGAAAACAGACGACAAAATAAACAAAATGCAAAAAAAATTCTAAGTGTATTACTGCTGGCTGCCCTACTGATTACCTACTTAATTTCCATCTTAAAATCTTTTTTGTTCGTCAAAGTACTATTTTGTGGCGCAATGTTTATCTTGGCGTGGGATGTCTTAAGTATATAAAAAATACAATACTTATTTTAGCGTGCAATAATATATTTTACATTAAAATTGTTTTATTTGTAGTGAAAAAATTTGTTTGGTCGCTATACACATTTGTCTGTCGTCGAAATGATCAAATTTCTTCCGATAAATCACACCCATAAAGTTTAATTTATAGATTGCTTAGAGATAAAATACATTATTTTTAGCAATCCTTCACTTCGAACTGGCCAAGAGTGCTCTGGTTGGCTGTCGACCAAAAAGGCCTACACCTGCTCGAGCACCGCTCCCGCAACGCTCTGTGCACCTACGAATACGCCAGCATACTAAGCTACTCGCCCGCCCTCAACTGCCTCATGATAATCACCGGCTCGGCGCACAAGCAGAGCAAAGTCATCCTCACCACCGCGCAAGCCTTCCAAATATCCACCCTGATTCGCGAGTACGTGGAAGTTCTGCGCGGGGAAATTATCGAGACGCGCAAGATACTGCCCCCTCCCCAGCAGCAAAGCAGACCTGTCAGCGCGCTGCACGCGAACGCGCCCCTAGTTCCGCCCCAGCCGAGCTAGAAGCGGGTCACTTTCGCCGATCAACTCGCTTCCGGCTACTAAAAGTCACGGTTACGTAACAAAATGGGTATAATTTGAATCTGACACATCACGTTTAAAAGTAATGTTAGAAGTTTCCAATTTGATGTCAAACACTTTTAAACGTCAGTTGACTTTTTGACGTTAAGGTTGTGTATTTTTACGTAAATCGTTGCTTTTTAGGGCGAAGCTACTCAAGTGCTGACTTAATAAAACGTTTTTCTTATTTCAGTACTTGACTAATCGGCGAAACTGTAAAAAATAGTAAATCAAATTGTTATTATACAAAAAAGATATACCAATTAATTATGGTACAATGCTGATATCACCATACAATAATTGTTATTTTTAATATAATATATTAACATATTATGTTTAGTGCGTTTAATTTGAGATAAATCAGGATATATTGAAATTTATTTAAGCCATTGGCTGTTTTGACATCTAGAATGTTTGTAGAATCCAAAAATAAAAACTTAAGCTGGTATGAGTTTAGTGTGGGAAATATAAATTTTTTTGAAGATTTTTTGATTTTTAGATATTTTGAGAATTTTCATTCCCATATCAAGGAGGTTGTGAAGAAATAGGCAATCCATCTTACGGTGGGCGCCATATTGAATAATTTATTCTCTCTTACTTATTGACAGTCACAATGGGGTTGGGACATGCAATTTTTTGTTTAACATATTTGGAATTTACGCATTACATTTTTAACTACGTTTCCCAAACAATTTTCTAGAACGCTAAAGCGTTTTGAAAACCACATTATTTAAAACGATGACCTTAAAGGGAGATCGTGACGTCATGATTTTATAACAGATTTGTCAAGAATTACATCTGTTTCTAGCACGGTTTCTAGGTTCCCTGTTTAAAATACCCCCCCTGCTTAAAATACCCCATAGAGACCTATACAAAATAATCTATCGGGCGCTACCGGATTCAATATTTGCATTTGTCCATGGTTTTTTCCGGATACGGCCCGATAGAAAATGTATAGGAAATTACCTATAGGCACACCATAACTTTAACATTTTCCCTATTGAAACCGATAGCAAATAACTCAATGAAGGATATATAGGGATATCCCTATAGAGCAACCATAAAACATTTGACATAATTTAATTAAAACCTATGGGGTCCTATAGGGGAAATAGTATATTAAAGTACAAGTTGCAGAAGGCCACATATTCTCGCACGAATTCGAAATTTGGCCTCGAGCGACGAAGGAGCGAGTGGACGAACGAATGAGTGCGAGAATAGCCTTCTGCAACGTGTGATTTATACTATTTTCTCGATTTTAACTTTTATTTAGGTTTTTTTAATTGTTTTGTGGTCGTTGTTAGTTAGGGGATTTTTCTCGCAAAATGTCAGTTGGCAACACAAAATGACAATATTTGTTATCCTGCACAAGTACAACCTGAACTGCACTTTTTTACATTCAACTTAAAATTTTGCATTAAAATGCATTGTTGGAGCAAACTTAATATTACAAAAACAATAATAAAGGCTTCATTTTCAATAAAAGTAATGAATTTGAGGTTATTAATCAGTTTGACATTTTGGGGGTACCAATACTTAAAAACTAAATGTTACCAAAAATCGTTTAAGAATGAGCTTCATTCTTCAACGATTTTGCGTGCGAGAATATGACATTCTTACATAAAAATCGAGAAAACTAATTTCTACATTTATGTGTATTTTCCCCATTGAAACGGATAGCAAATAAATCAAGGGTGGATATCCCTATAGAACAACCATAAATCTCAACTATGGGTCCTATACAAACCGATACACCCTATAGAAAACCATACATCCTGATACAAATATCTATCGGTTTGAACAGGGTCTCTATGGGGTATTTTAAGCAGGGCCATAGAGACCCTTAAAAATAATCTATCGGGCACTAACGAACTCAATATGTGCATTTGTCCATGCTTTTTCCGGATACAGCCTGATAGAAAATTTATAGGAAATTACCTATAGGTACACCATAACTTCTACATTTCCCCTATTGAGACCGATAGCAAATAACTCAAGGAAGGATATATAGGGATATCCCTATAGAGCAACCATAAAACATTTTACAAAATTTTATTAAAACATATAGGACCCCATATGGGAGAAAAACTAATTTCTACACTTACGTGAATTTTCCCTATTAAGACCAATAGTAAATAAATCAAGGAAGGATATCCCTATAGAACAACCATAAATCCCAACTATGGGTCCTACTCATACCAATACACCTATAGAAACACCATACAACCTGATACAAAAATCTATCGGTTTGAACAGGGTCTCTATGTGACATTTTAACCAAGGTTAGGTTTAATATCATTTAAATCGTTAAAATTTAGGAGGAAATATACATAATAGAAAATTAAATTTAAAAAAAAAATTATGAACTTGAAATAATCTGTAACTGGTTTTATTTATTACATATTATGCATGAAGTACTCCAGATATTCTGTAATATTATACTTTATTTGTAAAACCTGACACGCCTATTATAGCTACCAATATACTAAATTGGTATTAATAAGGGACTGTCCATAAATCTCATGATGCTGGAGGGGGGAGGGTGGCTTTGGCTGAACGTCACGTCCGAAGGGTTTTTTTTAAACGTCACGTCTCAAATGAAATCAAATAAGATTGCTTATTTTTTTAATTTTTAGTTAAATTATCATAAAATATAATTGAAAACAATATTTTGGGGGTAGGAAAGTTCGATAATTCGCCACATGACCCTTCAGGGGGTCTTTACTACGTCACATTCTGCCACGTGGTCAACTTTGACTATTTTTACCGTCACGAGATTTATGGACGGTATTTTATTATTTATAACATCGTGACGTTACGCTACCGAAAAAAATTATCGATTTTCATTTCATTTTATTCGATTTTTTAAGGGAAAATGAATAGCAAAAATAGTTTTTTTGCAATAGACGAAATTGCCGACTGCCCGAATTTTTTGTCCACAACGCGTTATTTATATAGTAATTTACTTGAATTGCATTTTAAATTTAATTGTATGCACCCACATGACTTCGTTTGACATCCTTTCAGACAATTACATCGGACTAATCCTTGCTTAGACCCAGAAGAAAACTTGGGTTGGGTTGGGTTCACAACAATACACCGTGTATTGTTGTGAACCCAACCCAAGCCATGAATTATACACGACAATTCACCTGTTTTATTTTACAAACGTCAGATAGTTGTTGATAGCTCGTCTTCAACGCCTTCTGAGTAAATCACAATAGCCAGAACGCGACATGGGTAAATGAAATGCTCCGCAATGCTAAACAAAAGCACGCGAATAATTATTTCGTGTCGTGGGTAACATAGTTTACCCACACGGCGATTTCGTATATTGCGAATAACATATGTACATATATATATAATTTGTCTCAGGTTAAGCTAACTAAATTTTGATATTTGAATGTTTTTTAAGGTGACTATCAAAACTGCTTTTTTACTTTTTTGTTTGGTGTTATAAGTATTCTACCAATGTTTTTAATAATTAGCGTAAATTTACAAGTATTCAGTAACCAAAGTTAAATTATTTTAATAATTACTCGTATTATTGTATTTTTTCCGAATAATTTGTGAATATATTATTAGTTTTAAATAGTAACAACACAAACATCCTTGGTATTTTGTACAAAGACTGATCAACCGAAATATTGAACCAATTAATGTTTAATAATTTAATAATTAATAAATAAACAAAATAAGACTTATTATATTCGGTACGCAATTTTAACTAACGCAATATTAGAATCATTGCCATTTTAATTTGCTGTGCATTTATCCACAATATAATCAATATTACAGGGTGTTTCACGAAGAATTTAAAATGGGTTTAAAAATCTTATGACATAAGGCAGAAAAAAACTCCTCCCCTGCCTACAAACCCTGATTTAAATTCCTTTTTAAACATCCTGTACAAAAACCAAATACTTTGATCAAAAGGTTATTCCAAAATAAAGTAAACAGTGTAGTCTATTAAATATTTCTAAATATAAGTTTAGAATAGCCACAATTAAATCAAATATTAGCATACAGTTTAAACAAATAGTATTATTATTTTATTTTAGAATGACTATTTGAATTTTTAAATAATCTCGTTTGACCATATATACAAATGTTATAACTAGTCAAGATGTAAATAAGCTAAGAGGTTTTATTATTGTACAGTTGTTAACTCTGTACGCACATTGTTTATTAATATGAATTACTCATTGGCTTTTATTTAATATTATTTTTTTGTATTATTATTTCAATAACTTCATATTGTGATATTTTATTTATATTAAGTATTTTATATTCCTTTTTTATGATATTAAATTGTGTATATTCTGATCAGTATATCAATATAATAAATATATTATTACAGAGTGTTTTTTGTTTTATTTATTTAACCAAACATAGAAATTTTGCGCACCAACGGTTGTGGGGGAGGTTAATTTAAGTATATAAAATTTTTTTAGTAGTCTAAATTTATTAAGCAATGCTTAATCTTTAAAAAACTCTGCAACGCAGCACATTTTCTAAACATCTAAAAATGGTTGTTATGGAAACAACAGTACAGTTTAAAACAGGCAAAGACAGCCTGGTCAACATTGTAACGTAACATTAACCAAAATGTTATGTAACGATTGTGATGTGTAACATTACAGTTACATAACTTGACGATTGCAAAAAGGTTCCTATTTCCCGCTTTATTAAATAACATTGTTACATAACAATGTATCCTTGTCGTTACATAAATGCATTATAATTGTTATGTTGTTGTTATGTAACTTTTTAATGGATTACAATGTTACATTGCCGTTATGAAAGTGAAACATAACTGTAACGTAACATTAACCAAAATGTTATGCAACAATCGTAATATGTAACATTACAGTTACATAACCTGATGGTTGCAAATAGGTAACAATGTTACGTTGCCGTTACTTTTTCGCAATACAAGTTATGTTAAGCCGGGTCTACAATTGTCGCAGGACGCAGATCGCAGTACATATGCTTGCGCAAAGCACCCAGCTGACAAAAGAACCTTGCTTTATCGCCACGTCGCAGGGTGCTTTGCGCAAGCTTATGTTCTGCGATCGGACCCCTGCGACAATTGTAGACCCGGCTTTACATAACATGGCCTTTGCGATTATGTAACATTGTTACGTTGCAACGTTATTATGCTCGACATGAGAAAGTCCCGTCAGTTTAACGCTAAAGCGTACCAAATAATACATAATATCGTATTCTGACTTTCCCATAATGTGACTCCTATGTTACATAACGGCAATACTGTGTTACGTTAAATGTTCACCGGGAGTGCTTATATTATAGACAAACTCAGTGTTCGCTGCCAAGGCTGCAGGTTACTCGAGTAGATCTAGAATAAATTCACGCGCAGAATAGAAATAATAATAGGATTATTTCTATGATGCACATAACCTGTAATCTATCTATGACAAAATGTTGCAAACTTAAGAATACATATATGTATACATACAACATGGTAAAGAAAGCCTTGCTCAGATCTGCTCATATATTTTTATTATATGGATCTGCTCTAGTGGATGCATCTTAAAAAGTAATGAGCTGGCCAAATAGTAGAGATGGCAAGTTTGATTCCGATTCGTTCAAAAAGAACGAATCATTTAAATGAACCGAATGAATCAAACAAAGTTTGTATAAGAATCAATTATTTTTTGAATCATTTTTTTTAAATCACGATGAGCGAACTAAAAAGTAAATCAAACCATAAAATAAATATAAACTTGGTTGCAGGCACTGAATTAAATGCTGGGTTCGGAATCTTGCCGTTCGAGAAATTTATTTTTGTTTTGTTATGTACCGATACTGAATATTTTAGGGATGTTTCTTTTGTTGCTCCATATTGCCGTTTCGAGAAATTTATTTTTGTTTTGTTATGTACCGATACTGAACATTTTAGGGATGTTTCTTTTGTTTCATGCTCCATTTTTGCTCCACACTTTATTTATTTTTAGGTATGTCCTTATTTTCTATATGTCCTAATTTTCTCAGGTGCCTATGGTTGGACTAGTGGCGTCTGTCATTACTTGCCTCAAGGCCCCTGATAAAAAGTCATTTATTAGTTTGTGCTTAGCCCTGAAGGGTAAGTTATTTTTATTGTATCTACCGATGTTTTCGGTGATATGGTTGTTGTTTATAGTGATGTTAAAGATGTATTCAATCATGTCCTTGAGGGGGCTATTCCCAGTGATCTATAATAGTTATTTATGTATTAAGGGCATAATAAGGTTTTTATGGTCCGAGGCGCTATTTCGAAAAGCGTCGTAGGACCATAAAAACCAGTTATGCCAGCAATGCATACAAAACTTTATGCACGATTAATATATTATTATTTTTAATATATTATTGTTTTTAAAGACGTTTACGTCAAAGAATTTTTGTTATAATTGTCATATTATAATGTCATCGTGCATAAATATTATTGACATCAGTCAGTTTTAAAGTTTAAAGATGAATGATATTGAGGAAGCAGCTGAAAAGGCGAAAAATTGCGGCCTGCTGCCGGAAAAATCAAAATCTTTATATGAAAAAACTTACTTCGAATATATCATTATTGTTTTTAATTTTTGACGCTTCATTATCAAATAATTTTTGTTATAATTGTCATATTATAATGTCATCGTGCATAAAGATCATTTAGGGAAATTTCTGATGTTTTTAAGCCCTTAATTGCTCTTAGTACCCGGTTTTCTAGGGTGTACAGATATCGTTTCTTTCTTGTTGCCGCGCTGCTCCATATGGGGGCGGCGTAGAGAAGTATTGACCTAATATATGCTTTGTATATCATTAGTTTTGTTTTCTCGCTCATCGGAGTCGAGATTTATATGTAGGGTTGTATGTGTTTGAGGGCTGCGTACCCTTTGCCTTTTACGTTGTTTATATGGTTTTTGAACGTGACTGTTTTGTCCAAAATGACCCCTAGGTATTTTAATTGTCTGGTGATAGGGACCGCCGTGCCTTCGATGTTAATATTTTGTGGGTTCATTATTTTAACTCTTTTGGTGAAGAGAGCGTTTTCTGTTTTAGTGGGGTTGATTTTGAGGCCCCACTTCTTGAAGTATGGGACTAATCTGTCGATATATCTTTGTGTGTATATTTGTGCTGTCCTGTGTTTTGTTGATTCGCTAACTATTGGTACATCGTCTGCAAACAGGGCTAATTGTACTTTATTGTTATTTGGTTTTGGTATGTCGTTTATGTATAAGTTGAAGAGGGTTGGGCTTAAGCAGCTTCCATGTGGTAGGCCTAGTGTTATGTTTTGCCTGTCTGAGTATTCGTCTTTTATGTTTACTTGCAGTGTTCCGTCTTTTAGGTAGTTCCGCGAGTTTTGTTAGGTAGTCTGGGATATCTATGTCGCTCATTTTTAAGCTTAGCGCTTCCCTCCATACCGTGTCGTATGCTTTTTCCAGATCTATTGTCGTTATTGATGATACTATGTTGATATTGTTGTTGATCATTATTTTGTCGACTATGCGTCCTAACTGGATTTCTGTGCTCTTACCCTTGGTGAAGCCAAATTGCTCCTCTATTATGATGTTTCCGGTGTTGACTTCGTTATTTAGTCTTTTTAGGATTACTTTGTCTAGGACTTTTCCAAGACTACTCAGTAAAGCTATTGGGCGGTAGCTGTTTTTATCTTTGGGGTGTTTACCCATTTTTACTAGTCGGATGACTTTTCCAAGCAGATGGGTACACTGAGAAAAAAGTTTATTGCTCCCAAATAAAAAAAATATTTAAATATGGGACAAGGGTACAGTTTATTTATCCTAAATATATTTTTATTCCCGACACATAAAGTTTTACTAAAGTATATTTATCGCTATTATTTCGACTATTTAGAGGTAATAAACAATATATTCACTATTAATAAAAGTATTAGCTACACAGTTTATTTGTCCCATTTTTTTCTCAGTGTAGTATTGGCGTTTTAGGCAATTGTTAAAAATATAGTGAATCTGCACTGTTAGTTTTTGTGGTAATCGCTTAAGAGTTCGGTTTTGTATACCGTCCTGTCCGGGTGCTTTCCAAGGGGGCAGTTTCCTGAGAATACCTCTGATCTCACGTGGTGATGTCTGGTCCTACACGGGAACCTCAAACACAGTATCATCCAGAGAGGCAATTTTATTGTTGACTCTGTCAACGAGGAGTTGGTCAGGGAGCGCATCAATGTCTATCCCTATAGTTGCAAAGTGATTAGCTAGCACGTTAGCTTTCTTACTAGTCGACACGTGCCTTGCTCCCTGATTTTCGATCACTGGAATGTCACCTTTGACACCCCTTTTCCGTGCTTTGATCATTCTCCACACTCCTCCTCTTTGATTGACCTCTTTTCGGATTCTACTGTGCCAGTCTGGCACTGCCAGATGTTCTCGTTAATCGACCAGATCATCGTTTTTATGATTACATTGGTATCTCGGATTTCCGCCGCACCTTCTTCGTCCCTTCCATTTCGCTGCCATCTACGCCTCAAGCGATTACGGTTCTGCAGTTCGGGTGTGGTATTGTTTCGCTGAATTGCCTCTCTGCTTGGGATATTTGCCTCTGTCGCCTCTTGTATTAGGGTCTGGATTTCATGTATTTTATTATCTATTTCGCGGTTATTGTTGAAGTTCCTTTGCATTATAAATCCCCTGTTAATTTGGTTTTTAGTCTCGGACTTTCCTGTTTTGTGTTTTGAGCCGGGTATTTAACTCTAACTTGGTTTCGATTGGCAAGTGGTCTGAGCATAGGTCATTTATGACGAATGTGTTATTAATAATGTTTTTGGATACATAAAAGTCAATTGTCGAAGGGGCGTGTTGGCGATTTGCTGGAATGAATTTGTCGTCGCTTGGTGCATTAATGTCCAAGAGATGTTCGTCAGCGTACTCTAGTAGTTGGTTGCCTCTTTGGTTGTTTTGTCGGCATCCCCACATTATATTTTTGGCATTGAAATCTCCCACCAGGATTACTTTCCTGCCTAGGTTTAAAATTGCGTCCAAGTCACGTGTCCTTAGGGGACCCTATGGCGGGTTATATATTGCTGCAATTGTCGTGTCTCTAATTCTAATACTAAATAAGTTTTGTTCATCCCGGCTTATAAACGCAAGAACTAGATCAACAGTAGCGAGATGAAACTAATATTAACGCAAAAATCGATTTTGGCTATAATTTTTTAACTTTATAAAGTATAGTATACTACTTTGTGTTTTACGTTGCAAGGAAAAAACTAAAAACTGGTTTAGTACTCGATTTCGATTGATTATAATTATTCCTTATATCATTGATTAAGAAACTCAACGCTTAAATGCTTATAAAGTTACGTTAGTGTGTGTATTTTATCAAAGGGATCATGGTGAATTATTGTTTTTAATTGTAAATAAAATTCAAGAAGAACTAAATCGTTGCATTTTCATGTTTTGCCAAAGGATCCAATTCGGTAAGTACAGTGGTGGACACGGAATTTTGAACGGCTTTCGTCCAGTTAATTTTAAAATCTTAACTTCCTTTATGGCCAACTAACCTTACTTCCTGTTATCACTATAGTGAAACGACAAGACTATAGTCTTGTCGTTTTGACAGCGAAAGCAAAAATGGACAATATTGTTTCTTTGCTATTTACAGATTTATACATGGACAACCAAATTATAACGTTCAAAATTCTGTGTCCGCCACTGTACATTTGTTGGTGCAGAATTAACTATAGTCATTATAATGATAACTTTATCTAATATAATTCATATTTAAGTTTGGACATTTTTAAGAAATTAGTAAAAAATAATTTTTGCACAAACATAACCTTAAATTCAACCATTTCTTCTCTAAAAAACGCCGACAACTGCATTTTAAAGAACATAATATACACAGATTATAAAGGTATTATAAAATATACCTACGAATTCATGGCAACATAATATTATATATGATAGACAATACAATTTATTATAATTAGAACCAATAAAATGCCAGTATTCCATGGTTACGCATTTTATCACAGCGACAATATTTTTTATCACCGTGTTTACACGCTGCTAAGGATTTTGACACTTTTCTTGATTTGACATTTGTTGACATTTAAATACTGTGCTTGTTAAATGATTAAAATAATGAATTATTAACTCTAAAAGATCGATGGGTTGGTGTAAACGATAATAAAATTAAGGTAAGTTTGAATAAATATATTTTAAAGCACATTTTAATTTCAAATGTCAAACTGACAATTCGTTAAATCCTAAAATTCATTATATTTTCTCACTAAATATAACTCGTGGTATGATTAATTATCGATGATATTTACTAATTGAAACCGAAGCAGCACATCTGCAGCTCGGTTTCAATTCGAAAATATCATCGATGATAATCATACCACTTGTTATATTATGGGTGATAATATAAGTAGAGATAATAATATATTATATAGTGGAGACTTTCTTAATCAACGCTTTTAATAATGCTAAATGCTGTTTAAATTTAGACGACTTATTTGTTTGACGATTTTTACTGAATTGAAATGTTTACACTTTTCACGTTAATCACTACTAAAATGTATATTTACAGAGACTGTATGCAATTTATTTCTTCATTCAGATTAACACTGTTTATTGGTAAACCGGTAAAAACTCCACTCAGGATTTCCTCTCGAAATACACCCAACACAACAAATCGAGCCACGGTTTTTTTCTTGATATTTTTTCCGCGCTTATTCTCAAAAACACTCGTTTGTAACAAAGCGTTTGACAGCTGATTAATAAAAGTTATACTTTTGTTACGATGATAACAACCGATACTTCTTTAACGTATAAAAAAATATATTATTTACAAGGATATTTTTCTTAAAGATAAAAGTTAAATAAGAAAATATTATGCATGTATTTTATTTAAGTTTAACAAGTAACCTATTTTATGTATTTACACAACTAACTGTATTGAATCATATCCCCCTTTGATAGAAAAAGAAAATTTTTCAAAATCATCAACAGGGATTCTCACATTCCCTTTTATTTTAAACCCTGGAAAAAGTGGTTCCTCTTTTAAACAAGTTGATAACATTGATTTATCCACAGTCGTAGACATTTTGTTTTTATAAAAACGAACTTTGCAAAAATACTCACTGGGGTCTACATTAGGGCTAATTAATTCAGCAGCAAAATAAACACATGAATTTTCAGTATGATACGATATTCTGAATAGTTTTGAATCATATACCTTATACCCATGACATTTTGAATAGTGTTGGATCTTATAACGTTTGTTCTTTAGTATGCAGTCTCTATGTTTGTCTTCCACATGTTTTGATATATCATTTGTGTTTACAAATTCTGGGCAAATCGGGCATTTACGTATGCTAACCATACACGATTCTTCATGTTTCTTGATTTCACCTTCAGCTCCAGTGACTTTGCACCCAGATATTTTAAACTTGCAGGGATATTTTACGTTGCTTGTAAATGATTCCAAACCGTAGTTCCTAACACTGCCCAATTCTCCCCTGCATGTAGGGCATGACCTTACATTTCCACGACATTTGTTGCAAATGCTATGTCCACTATTGCATTGATATATCGGAGGTCTCATTACGCTCATGCATCCGGGACATTGCAACAATTTCAGCATATTCTCATCTAGTCCATTGGGATTTAAATTAAATTCGTTCGAGATCATATTATTTTCATCTGCAAGATGTTTCAACAGGTTGATGTCTACCACAGTCGCGTTGGGGTTTTTATTAAGGTTTTGTTCATCATAAAAACCATTCAGTTTGGTTAGAGTACCTATGGTCTTTAACACTAAATCGTTTGAGTGTTTGGATACTTTTGAGGATGTAAATGTTTGAATACTTTTGTGGACCACTGTATATTCCATATTTTCTTCAGATTTTCCAACTGGAGTTAAGGAGTAATACAATTTATCATCAACAACTGAAGTCTTCAAAAGGCAATTTTGATAATCATCGGATAATAACTTTACGTTGAAAGGTTCCGCCAAGGATGTTTCAACGTTAAAAATATTGTTTTCACTTTTAATCACCTGATCCTGATGATTTTTTAAAATATGACCGCTAAATTCGGAAATGCTCCCACTCCAATCACAATCTTCAAGAATTTTCATCGGGCACGGATTCATTTTAAAATAGCAACCTTCAACGTGCTGAGAATAACTTTTAGAGTCCATCCTTTCGTCGCAGCCCTTGGAATTAAACTTGCACGGCAACATCAGCCTGGCTATAATTAGGATAAGCGCCGTGTTTAGTTCAGCCCTTGACTTCATTTCCTTTCCACACTTTTCTTCTAAACAGTTCGCACACACGTTTCCTTTCCCTTGGACCAGGAAAATATCGGACGTGCAAAGTTCATCGCAAATCTGGCAGTGGAATATTTTCTTTTTTAAAAGATCGTCAGTAAACTGATTCATGGTTTCGTTGGCCATCTTGCCTGAAAACAAAATTAATTTACATAGAAATAATATTTTTATGTAAATTATAATCAAATTTTAAATTTCAAAATAAAAAACAAATGTGTAATCTTTAAGAATTGTCAACAATACATTTAAAGCATGAACTGTACATCATTTTTAAATAAATAGGTAGTTTTTTCACAAAAGGGAGGAAGGCAGAAGTCTTACTCGACAAATTTTGTTCAATTGCACAGCTAAATCGCGCACGTTATTTGTGTTTTACGTTGCAAGGAAAAATTGATTATTCTTTATATCATTGACTAGAAACTCAACGCTTAAATGCTTACATAGTTACTTTAGTGTGTGTATTTTATCTAAGGTATCATGGTGAATTATTGTGTTTTTAAGTATAAATAAATAAATAAAATTCAAGAACTAAATTTTTGCATTTTCATGGTTTTGCCAAAGGATCCAATTCGGTGAGTACATTTGTTGGTGCAGAATTAACTAATGATAACTTTACCTAATATAATTTGTATTTAAGTAATTTCTCTAAAAAACACCGACAACTGCATTTTAAACAACAAAATATACCTACAAATTCATGGCAACATAATAGGTATATATACATAATACATAATATAATGGTATTTTACCGTTGTGAAGACTTTCTTAATCAACGCTTTTAATAATGCTAAATGCTGTTTAAATTTAGACTACGTATTTGTTTGACGATTTTTACTGAATTGAAATGTTTACACTTTTCACGTTAATCACTACTAAAATTTGTATTTATTGTATCTAATAGGTACAATTTATATTTACAGAGACTGTATGCAATTTATTTCTTCATTCAGATTAACACTGTTTATTGGAAAACCGGTAAAAACTCAACCCAGGATTTCCTCTCGAAATACACCCAACAACACAACAAATCGTGCCACGGTTTTTTTTCGATATTTTGTAACATTTTCCGGCTTTATTCTTAAAAACACTCGCTTCTAACACACGCGTTTGACAGCTGATTAACAAAAGTTCTACTTTTGTTACGATGCTAACAGCCGAGTGGTGGCGCTACTAGCGATACTTCTTTAGCGTATTGTCCTTTATTTTAACAAAATCCACAGTGCTTGAATATTTAATTTTATTGTTTAAAAAATATACTTATAATGGTTATAGGCGTATTCATGCTCACTTAAAATAAGAAATAAGCAACAAGACTAGAGACTTTTAACTTCAATCAATCATTTCTAACCACAGACTCTGTGTTTCTAATGGCGGGTTTACGAGTCACTCGCGTGCGTTTGAGGTTTGCCTGCGTTTCCTGGGACTTCGCGTCAACGCGTTCTTCCTGACGCGACCCCATTTAAGAGTTTCAAAAGCGCGTTTGCTCACCTTCGAACTTCAGCTGGTTCCTCAGTGGGCGTGTTTTGATTTCGTCTGATATCCGCAATATTAATGAATTTAGCTCGTCTGCTAATTATGTTTGACACAACACTTCAAGTTAGATAGCGACAAGTCTCAAACCTGGAGAATTTAAAGATGCATCGAAGAGTTTTTAGCGAGTTTTTAATAAATAAAATACAGAATAAAAAATATTGAAAGTATTGGTTGGGTGCGTTGTACTAGTGATTTTTTAATTAAGTTACCCTGCAAGAATTTGAAAGGTCGGAACTTTGATACACCCCATCCAAATATTTAAAAAATTAAGAAAATTTTTGAAAATAGGTAAATGAATGCAGAGATGCATCTGGGGAAAATGTATTCAAAGATCTTGTACATTTAGCTCTAAGACTCCTATGTTTACCACACTCCCACGCTGACGTTGAACGTGTATACACATATATTTAGTATTATGAATGTGATAAAATCAAAAACAAGGAACAGGATAAAATTGACGTTATAAAACAATCTTTTATACATTAGATTTGGCCTTAAACGGTTACAGTTATGCTGTAAGGACTACCTCCTCCCTGATAATGTATTAAAACAAATAGGTACCAAAAAATACATAACAATGAGATTGATGAAACAATAGATGATATAATTGAATATATTAGTACTATCTAAATCCTTCTACAGTTTATTCTAAAATGTGACCGTCAAACTTTGTATATAGAAAAATAGACTTATTTTGATCTGTACCTACGTTAGCAAAGTTTGGCCAGCTACTTTTGGGACATCCTTATTTTTTTGTTATTTCAATGTTAAATGAAAATGTTTATTATATAAAAAGGCATTAAAGCCTCATATTACAAAGTTGTTTATTTTTTTATTTTTTTGTTCACTTTTTAAATAAACTGTTTTATATTTTTTGCATTTTGTGTCCATACAAACCTCTTTGTTTTGTCTATTAAAAGTATTGAAGATTTTTTTTTGTCAAAGTTGGAGAATTCTGAAGAATTTTTGTTTAGGTTTTTGAGAATTTTAACATTTTACTGTTGGCAACACTGCCAACCATGAGTTCAATCAGTCGCGCGCGTTGGATAGCTCACGTAAACGCGACCTCCAAACGCACGCAAGTGACTCGTAAACCCGCCATAACTGAGACTGTTTCCTTTTCGTGGGGTTAAAGTAGGGGAAGTGAGAATCCATTGCTATAGCTATAGCTATAGCTTGTACATATAATGTGAGTCACATTTTAATTTTTCTAAATATGCGCTTGTTCTGTGTATAATCTTAATTTGTTTTTGAAACTTTGGATTATGGGGCGTATTCCTGCTCACTTAAAATAAGAAATAAAAATAAGAAACAAGGAATAAGAAATAAGAAATATGGTCGAGATCATTTTAACTTAAGTTAAAATGATACAGCAAATCATAATTATAATTATATATATATATGCTCATAGTCAGTTTATAAGTGGGGGATTTAAAATATATGATACCATAGATGTAGTAATACGTCCACGTATGATATGATTTGTCAACTAAATAAAATTTAGGTTTTATCAATTTTTTCTAAATCATTTGCTTACATCGCCTAGGTTAAGCTTACATAAATTCCTGTGGTTTGGCTTTATGAAAAGCAAAAAGTGGCATAATATGCATATTATGTAAAAGCTAGAGATGCGACTTGAAAAAAAACGGTCCGTTTTTTTGTTTTTTTTTCAGGTTTTTTTTCATTGTTTTTTTCAAATGGTTTTTTTTTCACATTTTAGGTTTTTTTCAAAATTAGTCCCATTTGCCTAATTTTTTATGTTTCCATGGATTAAAATTAGCCACTAAATGACAATTGTAAATGTAAATACAGTCTCGCGCTATGCACGCGCCACCACCACCGAATTGACCAATAAGGGCCGCGCTTGTTTTGATTTGGTCCTAAAAAAGTAACTATATTTAATATTTTTGATTTAGCGCTTGATTTTTCAAAAAAATTCCAAAAGCACTTTTTTCATGATTTTTCAAATTCATGTACCCAGAGTATGGAAATTTTTTTTTTTCAAAAAAACAATAGCAAATTATTATAGAACATTTATTCATTGGTGGTTAAGTCAGAACATTCTGTGGACCAAAAAAGAAAGCAAAAAAATCATTTTTTTTTATTACGGTACCGTATTATTACGTATTTGTTAGGATTATTACGTATTTGTTAGGATTGAGCGTTGCACGCTTTTCATCTAAAAATCTTAAAAGTATAAACTTTAAGCTTCAAATTGCTTTTTTTATGGCTCCAATACGACCATTTTTAACAAAGATGTACCTATCCTAAAAGTAGAATAATAATTACAAAAATTTATTTTGTCAAGTTATCCATGAAAAAACATTGAAATAAAATTAAACTTTTAGTAATAGTACCATGTTAATATTAGTTTAATTTTATTTCAATGTTTTTTTCATGGATAACTTGACAAAATAAATTTTTGTAGTTATTTTTGTGCATTTTTTTTCTTAAAATTTTTCAATAAAATTTAGTATAGGATAGTTTTGAGGGGTGGTGAATCCAGTGCCGTGCTTATATTTTGTTTAAAAAAATCGCTAATATGAATTCTTAAAAACTGACATAGTAGGCCTTGTATTTTGTATTAATATGGCGTCTTTTGCACCAAAAATACAGTTTATCAAGATCTACACTTTAAAACAAATGCGGTTAAAATCGCACAATAAATAAAGATTTTACAGGGGTGAGTCGCAAACAAATGGGTCACACTGTATATATTTATATATATATATATATAAACAAATTAAAAGACTTACCTGAATAGTTATATCAAAATCAACACCTCTAATAAATCAAAATACAACAAATAAACGTTATTCCCCTTCGGGGTTCTCTTTGAGGTTAATCTTGTGCACTAAACAAACAGTGTTGCCAATGCCAATATTCCAAATTCCCCAAAAAAATCCCGTCCCGATTCTCCAGATATGTATCAAGAAAAAAACAGGTCTTAATAAAAAATCTTAATATTAATTTATTAAATTTTAATTTGCATCGATAATAAAAAATCTTAATATTAATTTATTAAATTTTAATTTGCATCGATAATAAAAACACAAAATCTCAATTTACATAAAACTACAAATAGAAAATGTTAACAAAGTATGGCAAATATCGCCTGGGGAGAAAATTAAGTCCCTAAAATACCATGGCAAATATCAATAGTGAGAAAAAAATGTCCCTAAAATAGTTCGCATCTATATGAAATAGGAGTTGCGAAATGCGAATATTCGTATTTTGCATTTCGCATCTATATGATACCCAGGGCCGTAGCGACGGACTCAGGGGCCCCGGTGCAAAACTTTAGGATAGGATAGGATATCGAAAATTACGATTTTTTAGTAAAACTTTTTAGTTTTGGGGGCCCCTTTGAGGTCGGGGGCCCTGGTGCACCGCACCGCCTGCACCAGCCTCGCTACGGCCCTGATGATACCGCTTTAAGTCTGGTTCATATAGATGCGACATGAGAATTTGCGAAATGCGAAAATGTTTTCATTGGTCCATTTGATTTGGCGGGAAAAGTGTTTCGACGTTTCGACAGATTCTGCGAATTGACCATATGCAAGGAATGCGGTCGATGTTGCCAATGGTAAAAAAATAA